GGCGGGTACCACTATGTTGGCTCCATGGGGGTACCACTGTTGGCTCGGTGCGTACCACTATGTTTGGCTCCATGGGGCGGTACCACTATGTTTGGCTCCATGGGGCGGTACCACTATGTTTGGCTCCATGGGGCGGTACCACTATGTCTGGCTCCGTGAGGTGGCTGCGACCTGAGCGTCGCACTCTGCACTTGTTCTGTTCATTTCTCAATGGCATGCGTTCAAAACCTCTGCGCAGGCTTTAAACAGTTTTAGGTAAATGCGGCATGAAAACCACGTGGACCGGGAGCGACCCAGGCTGGGATTCCTGAGGTCGAGCCGGTCGCAGGTGTCTGTTATTGGGCCTAGTGCTGGTCGATGACATCACAAATTCGTCAGATGCTTCTGAAATTGAATTTGTGAAGGTTCCCTGAGATTGCATATCACCTGGCTCTTGGCGATGCATTTTATCTTCCCGCCATACGCCAGTAAATGATAATATGTTTCTAAGATAACGACTCGATGTTTCCCTCACCAAGACCGGGCCAACCCTTTCCCCGCCTGACCGCTGGCAAGTGTTCAGTGTGCCTCACCTGCTACCGACCCTAAATAATCCGTTGCCGCCACGTTCCCCCCGCCCTGCGACTGCTTCACAGCGACACAGACCGTGCTGGGGCATAGCTGAAGCTGATGGCATATCTTGAGGACGTCTCGAGCGGGTGGCGCGTGGTCTGCAGGGCGCCCTCAGACGGGGAAATTGACATTGTGAGCACGGGCACGCGAGATTCTCCATGCAAATTATGGCAATCGGTGTCCCACATGCCTTTGTTCAAAACGAATCCCGTAATAAAAGTTGTGTGAAATTGGCTAGCGTTTGCGGCCCATTACCTCGTTATAATGTGATTCAGGTGTATGGCGGCGCACACACTGCATGAGTCGTTTATTTTGAAAACATGGATGGCAGCAGACAGCCGCCGAGATTGTTCGACACGACTTTGTGGGTTGTAACAGACAGACAAGTCTCGTTTCAATGATCCTCTTAAACGTGCGTCTATAGCATTTGTGTGCATCATCTACGAAATAATGACTTGATTGCCATTGGCTTATTCTTAAATATCGTTGTTTTAACGTTGCACTATCTGATGAGCAGCACGTAACTGTGATCCAATATTAATCTAAAACGTGGTATGATCACCTGAAACAGTTCTATCAGTCGAAAAGGCAGCTTTTCTTGCACGAACTGCCGTTGATGTGTTATAATCAGTGACGTGTGTTGATAGCGTTTAATGCCTATTGGCCTGACTGAAACAGTCAATCGCTCTGATTTCTAAATTGTCGAACGGAGCCGGATCCTTGGTACCTGAGCACCACGTCTATCATCTGTCATCAGCGCCCTGGTGAAGCTCACTGAACCAAGGCTAGCTTTTCGCTATTCCCGCACTGAATCGTAGGATGGTTTTGTTGATAAGCGTGACCTTCACCCCAATACAGTTCACGACGATACTTTTTGTCTGCATATAGAGGGACACATTTCCCCAAAGTTCGCCCATCCGGCATTTCGAGCGACCAAGATGATCATAATTGACCGGAAATGGTGTGCACTGGCATAACAATCAATCATTAAAAGATAATTAAAGGCCAAGGGAAGATCAGCTGCTTCTTGTTTTGTGAGACTGCGGCCGAGCTCCAACTGATCAGGTTTGCTCGACCAGAACCCCATTCCCTCCCCTCTCCGAGTTACCACACGGGCGGCTAGGGTCAAGCCTGTTAACAAGGGTTCAGATGGGGGTTAAATTGAGTCAAATTAAGTCTGCTTTAACCACTGCGCGTCTGGGAAACCAGAGATATGGGGTTCGATTTCCCGCGGTGCCCGCAGGCGACGCCAGGCAGGCGACGCCATATAGCCCCAGCAGCTGAGTGCGTCGTAAAGCCCCAATGACACACATGACACGGGGGTTAAATTGACCCCGAAGGTTTTTCAGAATGATTTCCAAAAACGTGGTTAAGCCACGCTTGACTTTGCGTAGCTGTCGCATTAAATAGCGGATATTTTGATGTACCAAATAAGATGTACGTTCTAAGGTCACTGACCGAGGGCAGGTCAAAATCAGGCCATGGCTGTCAGCCGAGGGCATTTCTGAGGAATTGTTCAATGCGATGCAACAATGGAGTGTTAGACGAAGCTATACATATCTGGGACAATTTCTTAGACAATAAAGCAAGTGAATTCATAATAACATCCAATCCCATTGACCTAGGTCAGGCATGAAGGTCAGAACGAGGTCAAAACTAGTCTGCTTTTTTACTCGAGAGCTTGGTTTTATGGGGTAGTTTCTGGTGCTTAATTCGAATTTATCAATGACAGGGACCGCAGCAAACATGTTTAATGGACTTCTTAAAGATAATACAAGGTCATTGACCTAAAATGATCCATGTCAGCATTACGTTTTTATGAACATACCTACTAGCGCAATCCCTGACGCTTGTATGGATAACAAATAGGACCAATCTCGTATGTATTTGGCCGCTTTGACCTTATAAAGGTCATGCAAGGTCACTGACCGCACTGAACTTTTGCTTAGTACACGTATCTAGCTTCACAGTGCTTACATAAAGGGTTCTGAGGTCACTTGAGACACCAATGTGGAACTGAACTTGTTTGACCTTATTTAGCCTCAAGGTCATGATCTAGGAACCTCAAATTTTGACCCAACAGTGAAACATACAGATAAATTTATTCTGCGAATTTGGTGTTCCTAGCTATCTTTGTCTTTGAGATCTTCGAGGGGCCAAGTTGACCCCCACCTGAGCGAAGAGCATTCAGCCGGCCACCCTGGCGCATGTTAACTCTGTCTCACGCGTTGTCAACGCGCGTTATCAATGCGCGTTGTCAGCGTGGGTCCGGTACATTTTCGTGCTCCGAAATGTTCAGTGCAGCTTCCGACGTGCACTGAAAGTTCAACCATTCTCCGCCGTACATCGAAATCTTGGCTGCTCTCCGCTGTGCACTGAAATTTATGTTTGTCGTGCCACCAAAAAGATGCAGCATGCAACATGCAAAGCACAGAAGTGACCGATTCCGATTAAAACGGTGCCACATCAATAGCACCGAGGCTGAAATTGCACTCGTTTGGCTTTATTTAACCCCAAGGTCATGATCTAGGAACCTGAGATTTTGACCCAACAGCTTAACATACAGATCACTCTATTCTATGAATTTGGTATTCCTAGCGCAATCCCTACGAACTAGGAAGGAATGTGTGATTGTGCTAGGAACACCACATTGAGGCCTATTACGTCGCCCCTTACCGTATTACCCGTTGTGAGACTGATGATGCCAGGTCGCCATGGCTTGAAACGCGCGGCTTACCATGGCGACGACACAGCAGCCGTCTCTGCTTACCATGGGGACGGCACACCAGGCGTCTCTGCTTACCATGGGGACGGCACACCAGGCGTCTCTGCTTACCATGGGGACGGCACACCAGGCGTCCCTATTGATTCAAAAGTGTTTTTTTCTGCCTTTCTTTAAACATTCATCCTTTGATTCACAGCGTACGATTTTGCCACCCGTTCTTCCTTGGGTCTCGTAACTTCTGACGGCTACTGTGAAAACATTCGAGTGCGTAGCCATGGGATGACATTGCAGCTCTAGCTCAAAAACCACCGGCCGATAAAAAAGCCACGCCACTAGTAACACACGATTTTATCTCTCATTTTGAAGATGGCGACTTCAGATCATCGTGGTGACCAAAGATGCACGGATACCAACAGGATGACAGTGCAGCTGTCTCCAGTCTCGGAGGCCGGTCACTTGTCCGTGAACTATTTGCCATGATAATGACGTCCCCGATGGTATCACATGGTAACCAGATTTCGATGTTTGTTGACGTCGGCTGGTTGTGTAACGATGCAAATTTTGTTCTTGCCCCACCAAAAATGCTCATGGTTTGTTGACCTAGCTTTGACATGTAAGCAGAAATTTGGGTAGTTACACGGGAACGCTGTGTTGTAAATCAGGTGGGGGAGGTGAGCAACGTGAAAATGGCTGTTACTACCTCGATTGTCGTGCGAGGTCGGGTTGAATATTCCACCATAAGTTGCTTAGTCATATGAACCATGCTTTGTATGGAATCACTTAAAGCTACCAACTTAACACTACCTACATAACCTTTAATGGGCCAATGGCCACTTACTCTAAGAAATGATTTACAGCGATTACACAGAATGATTACAATCGACGTCGTCCAAAATAACACCTCACCAAAAGCATTCCCGAATAGACCACGACAGCCATGTTTCCAATGTAGCGGTATGCGTTGATAGTTGGCTGGCTGAGAAATCGTATTAAGCCACTATTGCAGTGACTGAACGTTGTATCGCAACATGCCTTGGCTAATGCTTCCGAGGAGTACCGCTGATTTTTTAGATAAAACATTGTCTGGCAGGGACAGGGAGCGTGATCGTGTGTCCGTGGTTTGGTCGAGACAGGCAGGCGGGCGCGCGGCAGTTATGCGTAATATGCCTCCGGTCGTTGGCACCGTCGCTGGTGGCCTTTATCTCCTTGCCGGCCACCTCCATGCTGTTTTGATTGCCATGCCGCCTGCCGCTGGACCGATGCAGCGACCATTAGAGGGTCTGCAGCGACTTTGCAATTACCCACATATTGTTGTACGGAAGGAATTACGCGTCATGTTAGCCTACCGTTAAGGAAACTATCGCTTTTTGCCACACTCCGGGTAGGTTCCCACTGTTGGCTTCCATTTCATGTGTTGGCGCCCCATTTCTGCAAGTTGATCTGATGCGTCACTCTACAAAACGGCCTGGCCTGCCTGATCTGAGCTAAGCGGACCTGGATTGACCTGACCTGAGCAGAGCTCACCTGGCAGACTTTGTCAAGGCAGACCTTAGCGGAAGTGGCCTATCGCAAACTCAAACAGAAATTCGCCTTGGCTTAACTCGTCACGGAGCTTAATTTGAGCTTGCCTAACCAAAACTGACCTGCCCTGACCCGTCTGCAGACTGATCTCGCCCGCCGGGTCGCCCAACATCTCCCCCGGCTCTCTGCACTCTTCCTCGCCGACGCCGCTAAACAACAACAAACTGTCGCCGTCGATAGCGTCGCAGCCCAAGTCGTCGCCGACGGTAGCGTCACACCACGGCAAGGTCACGGGCATCCCCACCGTGGCGGCCGCCTCCAGGTAAGATCATGGGGTCTAGCCTCAGGGCCACTCCTTTGGTTACATGAAGAGGGAGGCGGACGTTGGAGTGCGTTTGGGGTAGCTGCTTCTATCATTACCACATCACTTGGCATAGGCGGATCCTGGCGGGGGGGGGGGGGGGGCCCGGGGCCATGGCCCCTCCCCCTCAAAACCTCTGAGAATATGTTTTGGCCCCAAAAACATTCCCAGAGCTTCATAAAAGTTTCGTCTACTTACCGTCTGTTTTGAATTTAACTGTTTTGTTTCAACTTCTGTTTAAGATTCAAAAGCATTTCGGTGCTTTTTCGGTTTTGAATGGTGTCCCTACTAGGTATTCGCGAGAGGCACCATGCACTGGACCTCGGATCCCACACCAGCTAGCTGGCGACGAACGGTTGCCCCCCCCCCCCCAAAAAAAAAAAACTCCGGGCTAGATCCGCTCCTGTCATTTGGTATTCGTGGTGAGCTCAAATGCTGTTGTTTCCATGCAGGCATGTGATGTTTAATTTTATGTTGATACCGGGGAGAGAATTCTTAAAAGGAAGCATACAGTTATTTTATACCATTGCAAAAACTTTTCCATAAACTTACCAGAGTTCAGAGCGTCCAAACCCCACTTAAGGAATAAGTTAGCACCAAGGGCAGGCTGACCATTTGCGTTACTTACAAATTAGTTGAATGACCATTTGTTAATAGCTGAAAAGCAGAGCGGTCCTCGTCTCACATAAAGCTGCTGCCCTGCAGAAAAAGCTCGGCTCATGTCATGTGCAACGTTCGAACAAAATGCTGTTACCGCAAATGTCGCCGTGAATGTATATGTACGTATGGATGAGGTGTTAGTGTCTTGTGACAGCTCTGCAGTCGACGCTCGTGCGTCAGCAAGTTTGCGTGCCGCAATGCATGGCCTGCTACTGGCCTATCCTCGCGTAACAGTCTCGTCCCGCTCCGGGGGGGAGGGGGATTTGCACGACCCCATGCCGGTGTGTCAGGCTCACTGGGTCATGTCTTTTCATATGCTTTAACTTGTTACACGGCCATGCTGTTTTACTTGTTCTGATGAATGTCGTAATGGTAAAGTAGCTTGGCGAGGAGAAAATAAGAAAGGCAGTCACTGCTATTTGTCCTAATTACGTTTTCGATCATGGTTTCGTGACACAGTTCTTAGATATTCTTGTGTGAAGCGAGAAACGAATGCTCGCAATCGTTGTTCTTTTTTAGAGTCGAATGCCGTGGGGCCTGCGAACAGCTTACCATCGCTCGGCACTCGTGACCAGTGATAATGCCCGATCATCGTCTATGTATCCATGTTCTACCGCAATGCTGCTTTATTGTCCTTGTTGGTGGCCGACCCCTGATGACCTGGAGCGCCGGTAGTACAGTATGCCGCGTGTGTCGAGGAAACAAGAGATCCGGTGTTCGATTCCCCGCGCTGGCCGCCGTCACTGCCTGCCAGCGTGAGAGGCAGTCGGTGCCGTATAACCCCACCAGCGGAGTGCTGTGTCCGGCCAAAATGGGGATGAGACCCGCTGTGGCCCACCAGACAACCCAGGACGTGACCCGCCCGGCTTCCCCAGGTACACGGCCCCGGTGCATATTGACGTGGGTGGCGTCATCTACACGTCGTCACTGGAAACGCTGACCAGGTGAGTGCTCCCAGGTCAGGGCTGGACATTCGTGAACTAGGTCTCAAGCGTCTCATCCCCATACGGCAACGAATGCGAGGCACGGGCGTTGGCAGGCCGCGTTTGAGTGGGGACCGTGGTATATCTTCAGAGGTTGGCTGGACGGCAGAGGTGTGTCGGCGCTGGGCTCCCCAGCCGAAATACACCGCGCAGCTCGGCCACTGCTGAGTAGTCATGCCTTATTGGTGTGGGTAACCAGGGCACTTCCACCAGCCGCCAGGCAGCCATGAATGCGAACTGGCAAGCCGACAGCCTGCCAAACAACAGGTCACCAGGTGAAACCACTGGGCGATGATGATCACGGAGAACAACTCATACTTGCTCGGGAAACGTAACAGGGTTGTGCGTGACTGCCATGGAGGAAGAGGAGGAGGTCTTTTTCTCCCAAAAAGGGCTTGTGACCTTTGGTTACCGCGCCAATGATGGCGCGCCTCGGTTGCCGGGTGGCGGGGCAGCTGGTGGTGACGGTGGCGGCGGGTGTGCTGCGGCAGCGGCGGGGCGCGGAGCCGGTGGTCCCGCCTCCGAGCGGCCCGGTTTTTACCCGCCGCCATGTGGGAGAAACTCGTCCCGGACTCCCGCACGTCTGCACGGGACGCGGCGGTGACACGGCGCCCGGCCGCTGGGCACGGCGCCGAGGTCGGGTCGGGTCGCCAGAGGTCAGGGCCATTGCCGGCGGTGTGTCGAGTCTGGAGAACGAGGCGACCGTCGCCGCATGCTCGGCCCACGTGGCCCAGCTAGTGAGGCTGGGCTCCCTGCCACATGGCCAGCCGTTTGCACTCCAGCGTCACTGGTTGCGCCCTTGAATCCTCCCTGTGCCCAGCATGGGCTCAGGGCCCGGTATGTGACGCGCCACAAGCGGCATGCCCTAACAGCTGTCCAGTTGTCCAGTTGAAAACAGTTGTCCAGATAAACTCGTTTCATCCCAGAGTCGCGGTCCTCATGCCTCTTTATATAAACTGATTCCATTGCATGCTTATGCTTCAACCTTTCATTGCCTCGTGCATGGAAAGTCACGTACTGGCATGAGCGTTGTGCTGGTGTGGCCGCTGTCTCCCGGTGCTGGTGTGGCCGCTGTCTCCCGGTGCTGGTGTGGCCGCTGTCTCCCGGTGTACTGCACTCGCCACTCACAGGCGGCGCCGTTTGATGGCTACCGACTTCAGAACCTGTGGGACTGTGTGACGTGACTGGAGCTGACCCGACATTGCCACCAACACTGCAGACGATGGCGGCCGGGTGGCCGGGAGACGTGGACAACGGATTGCCGGACTGTCCGGAGTTAGCGGCAGCAGCGCTGGCGAGTACACTGGGTGTGTCCGGGATATAAAGGCAGTAGCGCTGGCGAGTACGCTGGGCGTGGTCCGGGATATAAAGGCAGCAGCGCTGGCGAGTACACTGGGCGTGGTACGGGATATAGAGGCAGCAGCGCTGGCGAGTACGCTCGGTGTGGTCCAGGATATAAAGGCAGCAGCGCTGAAGAGTACGCTGGGTGTGGTCCGGGATATAGAGGCAGCAACGCTGGCGAGTACGCTGGGCGTGGTCCGGGGTTCAGGGGCAGCAGCGCTGGCGACGACGCTGGGGCGGTCCGGGATTTCCTGATTCTGCCTTGGCATGCAGTGGTGTCTTTGCTTATTCGAATTTTTCTCTGTCCAGCTTTTCTTTGCAGGCATTTCCATGAAGGCACAGGAAGGTTTTATTCAGTGCCTGTTCAAGCCGCGTTGACCAGTGCCTTGGCAGCTACTATCACGCTGATATTGACCAATAGCGTTTGGCGTGCCATGAGATGTGTGGTCGGATGCCGTCATAGGTTCAGAAATAATAAGATTTGCCAATGTCTTGAAGCTTTTGATGTTATCAACTTGATTGTGGTGCCTTAATGCCAGTAATCTGGTCGAGTCGATAAGGGTCAACTGTTTCCTTGCTTGCGATTTCGTATTGAGAAGGCGTCTCCGCATGAATTAGATTGTAAGTCATGGACCAGGGCTTCAAACACGTTGCAGTGCACTGCCCCGTTCTCACGATCATGATGCGTTGGACAGGAAGCTGACAGCTTCTTCTCACGCTTTGCCGTAAAGAATTACAGAAAGATAAAGGTGATGTTACATGAATATGTTGACGGTAAACATCTGCAAGGAAAAGTGCCTTGAAGATTACGTTGCCTGAAAGTCCAGCGTTATTTCACGGCATGCAATGGTCGATTATTTTTACCATTGATAAGCCATGGACTGCGATGCAAGTGAACCGCACTTTGACGGCAGCGGATTAGCTCATTCTGCCCCAATGGAAGACTTCTATACATTGCATGCCTTGGAGACAGAGGGACAGCTGAGGACGCGACAGCTGTTTCTAGGGGCAAATCTGGGTGTAGAAAGCAGTTGTCCATATAAACTCCGTACGCTCACCGCTTATGCCCCACATTTTGGTAGATTGATCCCATTAACAAAATAATTATTAAATGCACACTTGGCCCGCCCTGACCGGTATGGCATCTTTGTGCTGCTGGCAATCCGCTTTTTTCATCGCGATTCGTCTTCAGAGTCTTGGCTTTGATATTGGATGTTGGTGAGGGTGAATTTAGGTTAGTGTTATATAGTGTATCTGAAAACCACATTGCCAATGCAGCCAACATTTCACAGACTAACTGCAACGGAAAGAGCAAGTAGCCGGCCAAAGGAAATTTTCCGAACCATTACGTTGTTCCCGCAAGTTTCCAGGTGCTCATCTCACAACCGCTTTTTGGTGGAGCGCCTGTCTCGGCACGAAGTCAGCTTGGCTTCGCCAGACACGCGTCCACGGCGCTGCGGCCACACAAGGCCCCGAGCGCCGCCGGCCAGCTGCAGGGCCGGCCAAAACACGGCGACCTTTCTATGCTGCGCGGCCCGGGGCCCAATTGCCACACGGGCCGGGCGGCGGCCCGCAGGCCGGCCGGCTGACCCACATCACGGCAAGCCCGCCGCCGGCGGCCGGCGGCGCAGCCGTATAGGGCGCGCGCCGCCGGCGGCCTGACCGGCTGCCGCGGCTCCGGGCCCGGCTCGGGGAGGTGGCGCCGATCTGGGTTAGTGGCGGGCGCCCGGGCCGCTCGGGACGCGCCGCCGCCGCCGCCGCAGTTGCACGCGTGGTCGGTATGCGGCGCCGGCGGCGCCAGTGCCGCTGCGTCCGGCCGGCGGCGGCGGCGCGTCACATTGCTGGCGTGCCAGGACACGATCGGCGGAGCTCGCGGCCGACCGGCACGGCGCCGCGACAGACCAGTACACGCCAACCAACAGACCAGTACACGCCAACCGACGGACCAGCACACGCCGACCGACAGACCAGTACACGCCATTGCCGGCGCTGCTGGGACTCAGCCGTGGTACTTACAATGTCGGCGATGTTGTCATTACATTTGAATGGGATCTTCTCCATCTTTGATTTCGGAAAGGCCTCTGCGCTTCTACCTGTTTTGCAAGATACCGATGCCAACTTTTTTGACACCTTCCGGTGGTCCCTAATTCCCCCCATCGAAAGTTTTTGTTGTAAACGTTAACTAGACCGTCTGGCGATTCTTGCCGTTGCCGTGGGTTCTCGGCTGTCAGACTGCTGACCTGTTCAGCTTTGGGCGGGGACAATCGGACCACGTGTGCGTCGACGGTAGACATACAGCGTCTTACGCGGGCTTCGTTCGTGCAAATCTCTTGATTAACATCCATCTGGCCTCGTGTGCACATAGACGCTCACAACAGCACTCCTTTGGTTATTGTTGGGCTATTGTTTGTCGCGATATGTAATTAATACGTGGTGCTCTGTGTTAAGAATGTCATGTCATGTGCATGCGTTTAGGCACCCCTATCCGTGCTGTTGTCACGGACAACGCTGCATTAGGACATTACATCACTGCATTCGCTCACCAACCAACATCCCCTCTCTGGTCTTGACGGCCCTGAGCGGCCTGAGCCATCCTCTGAGAACATCTGAGCGGCCTGGGCCATCCCCTGAGAACATCTGACGATCTGATCTACCACCCGTCAGCTCAGTACTAGGTCCGCTCAGCCAGCACCGCCGTTCTCGCAAACTCTGTCGTATTTTCGCTTCCGCCTTGCGCCGGCCGTGGAGCTGGCTCGGTCGCGGCCGGGGGCGCGGGATATTTGCTCTGGCCGCCGGCGCCGGTCCCCCTGCCGTCGTCGTCCCGCTCATTTATTCCGAGCGGCGGCCAGCGCGCGGGGGCCGGCCGGGGCCGGCGGCGCGGCCGACGGCGCCGCGAGTTTCCGCCGTCCATGTTTGCCGCGCTCCGCCGCTACCGCCGCCGGCCCTCCCCCAGGCCCTAATATGGAGGCCAGAGTCGGGCCCGGTCTGAATGCCGCGCCCGCCGGCGACGCCCGCGGCCATTTTCCACATCAAACGCCGGAAAACCATTGGAAATTCAATATGGCCGGAGGGTGGTGCGCTGGTGCGGCCCCCGCCAGGCCTGGTAATGTCGCCGGTCCGCCGGCGCCCGCGGGCCCGGCGGCGCGCGCGCCGGCCGCTGAAGCCACAGCCGAGCTGCCGGAATGCGACACGAGAAGATCCGGGTACCGGCCGCCACTGTAAATGTGAGAGGATGACTCCATTATTAATTGGCTTTCGGTCCGTCGTTTCAGTCAGATATGATTTCAACATCCTATATCAGCTACAGTTGCAGTTGATGATGAATTTAATGTGCAAGGCAGACGCCAATATTGCACTGTGATCCATGCACAGCCACACACATTAATATATATATATATATATATATATATATATATATATATATATATATACGTAGGTAGATTGAGATATATTTCTCTCTTTTTGCCTCTCCCCCCCCCCCCCTGTCTCTCTCTCTGTCTCTCTGTCTCTGTCTCTATTTACGTCTATTGTTTCAGTACTGAGTATTGTTCTGTGTACACCATGTAGGCACTAGGGGAAGGAGGCGATGAACAAAAAGTGAGTATCAACTGGATACCGGATATTAATGACGTTTGTTAAATGTTTTCCAACAGCCAGGCTGTACTAGAAGTGCAATATCAAACGTCCTTCCTCAGCGGACTTACTTGATCCGGAAACGCTGTATGTGAGAAGTTTTGTTTATTGCAGACGAATTATTGTTGGACAGCTGGTTACAAGCAGCATGGCCATCTTCTTGGAATGATGTCGTCAAATCGGGTTTCTGCCGCTTTTCGACACGAATGGTCTTTCTCCTCGGTAGAATGGTCCAAGTGTGACGCCGTCAATCTGTCACAACCTGACGTGCGCTTCCAAAACAGCTGGAAGGAGAGCGAGAATGAAAACAGGATTTTTTCTGCATGTCTTTTCTGTCACGGTTTTTAATAAAGGTCATCCGCCTCGCGTCTACAAAGAATGTTTTGCACCATCTTTCTGCCTGTGTGGCTAGAGCGTCCTGCGCCCCTGGTATAGTCCCTTCTCCTCCCTCGGGCTCTGGGAGAAAAAAGAACTGGGCGTAACGACATCTGCAGAGGGCGAAAAAAGAACTGGGCGTAACGACATCTGCAGAGGGCGATCGTTCCCGTCGCCGTCTGCTCCGTCGTCAGCCGAGCCTGATGGACCAACCCCGTGTCTGCCGTAGGTTTCCGGAGACGCGGCTGGCCAAGCTGTTCAACGGCCAGGTGCCGATCGTCCTGGACACGCTGAAGCAGCACTACTTCATCGACCGCGACGGCAAGATGTTCCGCCACATCCTCAACTTTATGCGCAGCGGCAAGGTGTGCGTGCCGGACGACTTCAGCGAGATCGACTGTCTGATGGAGGAGGCGCGCTACTTCGAGGTCCAGGGTGAGTAGTCCGGCACGACACGCTGCCAAGTCCAGGGTGAGTAGTCCGGCACGACACGCTCCCAAGTCCAGGGTGAGTAGTCCGGCACGACACGCTGCCAAGTCCAGGGTGAGTAGTCCGGCACGACACGCTGCCAAGTCCAGGGTGAGTAGTCCGGCACGACACGCTGCCAAGTCCAGGGTGAGTAGTCCGGCACGACACGCTGCCAAGTCCAGGGTGAGTAATCCGGCACGACACGCTGCCGAGTCCAGGGTGAGTAGTCCGGCACGACACACAGCCCAGTCCAGGGTGAGTAGTCCACCAAGTCCAGGGTGAGCGGTCCAGCACGACACGCAGCCAAACACTGCTGCTGAACGCAGGCTGCAGCCATGGTCTATCCCAACACCATCGATACAACATGATCCATGCACTATGCTGATCTAAACAAATTTGTTTCCTAAAAAAGGTAACTGAACATTATATCGGACTGACAACAAATAGAAAGAGTCGATGAAATAGGGGCGGTTTGAAATGGAACCGGTGAGTTTTGGATGAATTTGTAGCAGCAATGTCAATCATTTCAGCATTACAAGGCTACTGTTTCAAGGCACATCGCATCATTAGAATGCATTTTATGCGGAGCTGGAGCTGAATTTGGATTTATTTTTGAAAACAGGAGTTGACAACCAACAGCAATCTTCGAGAGCTAGACGCTTTCGAAGATTTGCATTTCGTGTAGACTATTTCCAGGTCACCCAGACATCCATGCCATCATAATAGCGACATTCAAATCCTGCCATTCCATCGGCCATGCGGTGATCCAGGCCAAGAAAAAATGTCATTGTTGAGTCATGAATTTCTGGCCTTCGGGAGCACGATTTCCAGGTTTAACGACCGTCAATTGGCTCTCTATTAATGTTGTGCAATGTACAATGGCGTAATAAAATAATGACATATTGAGGAGCACATTAACTTAATAGAGAAATTGTGTTGTATAAAACGGTCTTTTCCACTTCAAATATCAAACACCATGTTTCTGACAGAATCATCATCTTTGCTGCGTGCTTTGTGATGTGACTTTAGTATGAAGGCCATGTAGTGACGCGAACCATCACTGGAGGCGACTTCGTTTGTGTTAGTACGAAAGGGTACAAATACAGCGCCAATAATGACAACATAATTACATGTATTTAACAAAGTTACTGAAATGTGACAATATTACCTGCACAATAGGGTGCATGTGAAATATTTTTCCCACCCCTGGTCACATATCGGAGGAGAATCTGCGCTCTGACCGTACTCAGCACCCATGTGCCCGCCGTCTATAGGTATGGTGAAGCAGCTGGAGCAGCTTCGCCGGCAGAGAGCGGGCCGATCGACCGCACGCGCCGCCCAGGCGGCGCCACTGCCGCAGCACGGCTATCACGTGGTGGCGCTGCACATTTCGCCCGACCTGGGCGAGCGAGTCATGCTGTCCGGCGAACGGAAGCTCATCGAAGAGACGTTCCCAGAGGTGAGCCGACTGCTGCCGAGCGGCCAGGCGCGCCGCTGAACACTTTAACCGTGGCAAAACTGAGCGTAGGCCGCTCCCGCGCTCCGTTACTGCTGTGAGAAACCCAACGTATCGGAAACCTCAACGGCTAGCGAAATGAGACAATGCGTTGACGCGCGCCCTTCGGCCCGGCAGTACCGGTTCAAGAGAGTGCACGTAGGAATTCTGAGTTTAGTGCCTGCGCCTCTCTCCACTGGCGTGATATCGTAACAGGCGGGCGGCAGGATGAATCGGTGCTGAGAACGGAGTGCCTGCGCTTGGCGACGTCTCCAGCTGAGAGCCGTTCGCCACCGGCGGGCCAGCAGTTCTCAGCGGACCACGTTCGCTATCAGCCATCGGCAGGCCTCTGACCCCCCCCCCCCCCCCCCTCTGCCCGCGTCGGCCAGGTGGTGCAGGCACTGATGGACAGCAGGACGTCAGTGGCGTGGAACCAGGCGGACCCCGAACATGTGGTGCGGTTCCCACTTAACGGCTACATCAAGATGACCTCGCTGCAGGCCATCCAGCGGCTGCTGGCCGACGGATTCCAGGTCAGCGCCGGACGGAATCATCTGGCGACGGAGTTCTGACCAAGAACGGTAGATTCGCTTGGAACGAATGCTTTCCGGCTACATAGAACGATACGCGCTGTTAGGAAAGGGATTTCAGATCCCCAATGGCATGAATTGTCTTGACCGCCGTGACTGCGTACCGAGACGACGCCGGGGTGTTGAAGGTAGGCGGAAGACGTGGTTCATGTGTGATTCCGAGGACCACCAGCGGATGCCAGAGATGGCGGCACGCCTGCAGCCACCGCCCGTCTACATATCGAGCTGACCCGCTCGGCCCGTTTTCAGATTGTGGCCAGCCTGGGAGGTGGCGTGGAGGGCCAGCAGTTCTCCGAGTACATCTTCTCCAGATCCCGACTGCCACTGTGAGCGGCGCCCGCCCGTGCCGCCGCGTGCCAAAGCTGCGCCGCCGCGCCCGGGGCCGCAGCGCCCGCCCGTGCCGCCGCGTGCCAAATCTGCGCCGCCGCGCCCGGGGCCGCAGCGCCCGCCCGTGTCGCCGCGTGCCAAAGCTGCGCCGCCGCGCCCGGGGCCGCAGCGCCCGCCCGTGTCGCCGCGTGCAAAAAGCAGCGCCGCCGCGCCCGGGGCCGCGGCGCCCCCCCCCCCCCCCAGATTAGTCAGAGCCGCGTGCCATTACCGCGCTGAAGCGCCGTCATCGCCGGCGCGGCGCCCGCCCGCTGCCAGCCGCTCCCAGCGCTCTCGAGCCAAGCGAGCGCGCGGGCCCGCCAACTGTGTTGCAATGTACACTTTGACATAGCGTGTCGAGATGTGCCGAATCTATGGTCGTTAGGTTTTTAATTCGTAGTTCGTTTATTTACCATCGGGCACCGTGCTCGTGAGATTCTGCGTGCATCGGTGCAGTGAGAGCGAGCGACGATTCAAGCATTCCTACTGAGATGTCTCAGCTGCATTTTGAACTTGGCACCGTGCACCCGGCCATGCTGTGCGCTTACTCAAACAACGGGGACACCCTCGAATCACACAGGACGGCGGCATCCGTTCCTAGTTTGGGAGGCGGACCGCAGGCGAAGGCCATACGTGAACGCATGTGCGCCGCCTCACTCCGGTAGATGTAGAACGAGCTTATTGTGTTCGGTGTTTTGGCCATCTCCCCGGCCTGTCAGTCCGAGGGCGGGCGGCTATACAATACAACCGTGCCATAGCTGGACAGCGTAATTGGGAGCAAGCCGGCCCGTGATCGTACCGAAGGCATGCTGCCACTAGGCATCCGTGAATTTCCACAAGTGCAACGAATACATGTATGAACGGATTCTGAAGGGGGCTTTTGCACCAAAACAGCGCGGCTGACAAACAGCAAGCCATGCAGCCTTCGGCTTGTTACCAAGTTCTACCCTTCTGCAACTAGCGAAGACATCCTGAAACACCCTAAAAGGCGTCCATTCGTCTATTTGTAGTCCAGCATTCCTCATAGTGTGAATTACCTCTGACGTTAACAATCAACTCACGCTGGTAAAATATGACGCCCCGTCCGGACGGCGCCAGGTGCGGCGGGCAGCAACCTCCCCGGCTGCGCGTAAACACCAGCGGCCGCTGCTGAGCCGAGCCGAGCCGAGCCGAGCCGAGCCGAGCCGAGCCGAGCCGAGCCGAGCCGAGCCGAGCCGAGCCGAGCCGAGCCGAGCCGAGCCGAGCCGAGCCGAGCCGAGCCGAGCCGAGCCGGGCCGAGCCGACCGAGCCCGAGCCGAGCCGAGCCGAGCCGAGCCGGGCCGGGCCGCCCGCAGACAGGCGACGCCTGGGACCTCGCCCACCCACCGTTCGCAAGTGACGCCCGGGCCGCGCACGAGCGCATGCGCGGCGGGTCGCGCGGCTCCCACCGCGGCGGGTATGTACATCGCTGTCTGTATTGCATCACTGGTCGGCCGGCCCGGCCACGCTCCGTTTGTACTGGCCAGCATGCGTGCGGTCGACGCCCGGACCGGCACAGTCGCCGTCGCCACTGTCGCAGCAGTCGGTGAAAAACGAGCGTCCGCGAGCACCGTGCATATCACAAAAAAACAAACAACGACCGATAAAATATGACCAAAGCGTGCAGAGCGTCGCGTGCCGCGAGCGGCAGAGGGGCGCGTGTGAAAGAGAGAGAGAGAGAGAGAGCGCGACGGCCCCTCTCTCCAACAACAGAGAGCGGGCAGCCGGAGCGCGACGCAACAGTGCGACTCGCCGCGATCAAACCGAAACACATGCAGCGATGGGTGGACCGACACGTGAATGGATGGACTGGTGGATGGATGGGCACGTTCCAATTCAAAACAGCTTCAGTACAAAACGCGTCATTATACTCTGTCGCAGGTATAACAGCCAGGCACTAGAGCGGGCCGCGGCCGGGCGGGCGGCGACCGCGGCTACTTGACGAACAGCTTGTAGAGCCGGGTGGAGCGCTGGTGGCCCCGCTCCTGCTCCAGCAGAAGCAGCAGGTCTCGCAGGTTGACCCGCTTCAGCCGGGGTCGCAGAGGGATCTGGCGACGACGCACAGAACCGGAGTGTCACCACCAACGGCCCGCTGGGGAGGGGGGGGGGGGGGGGGAGGGCAGCCTGCCATATTCTCACACGCCTCTGGGTGGGTGATTTATTCACCTTTACAAATGTCACTGGATGAACAGTCATACAACATCATCACCAAAGTGAGTGTACCGCTAACGACTCACGCTCATCTGAGCTCACCACTCACAATGTCACATGCCAGGGTAACTCCGTGCTGACACTCGTTTCAGTCCCCATTTCGCATTCCCACCGATCCGGGTAAATGCTACACTCACCTTCTCACCGTTTCTATATTTGCCACTCTCACATTCTCATCTGCCTGGTGAGCACTCCGCTAGCAGTGTCATATATTTCTGGGTTCTTGTACCCCATTCTCACCTGTATCCTAGTGAGTGTCGTTTAAACATTCCCACCAGTTCCTGTACTCGCTAGGACTCAGCATTAGTAATCTCAACATGCCAATTCAGTGTTGGAAAACTTGATGTTTCCTGAAATGATGTATACCAGGAGATTTTATGCTCCAGGATTGTGACTAGATAAAATGAAATATTTTGTACTCCATCATGACGCAACAAGAACAGCTTTTGGAAAAACTCCTTTTACCTCTTTGTGTCAGGACAAAATAAAACCAGAAGGTGCAACAGCTTGAGACTTACTGCTTCCATCAGGAGCCATGTATTCATAACTGCAAGAGCACAAATCTTGCACCCACCAGACTAAGATGCCCAATAGCAAGCAGCCTGCCTTGCCACCTAGGTATATAATAAATCATGTATGGAAATATGAAAAATAAAGCGTGTGAACGTTGAATGGAATCGCCTTTAAACAATACCGGGAAACGAGAAACGAGTACCAGAATCGCACCGGTCTGAAGATTAGCAAAGCTCTCACTTCCTATACCCTACACAGACCAACTCAAACTCGAACAAGACTTAATCTTCCTTTGACGACGAACCGCATTAATTGCCAAGGATGCAACGAACATTCACAGAAAACCGCACGCCCAAACACCTACCGGTGATGGCCGCCCTCCCACGCGCCACCACTGTGTCATGGCAATGCAAATAAGAAAATCACTCGCAATTCAGCGTCGGAAACGTCTCTACTATTCAGCGGCTTGCGCCCGCCTCCCAGCTCAGGTTGGAGGCTGAGCATAGCAAAACTCTCCAATTGGTTATAATGATTCGCCTCCTCGTGACTGATTTGTCAAGAGCATGAATATTCCGCTCGCGCTCATGCCTTGAACAGATTTGTAAACATTTGAAGGAAAGCTGTATAGAGATGGGCATCACGATTATGAAGAACGACTTACTTGTACTCATCCAGAACCGCCATGTGGTTGGATTTTTGGCCACTTCTTGGTATCCGGAGTACAAAAATGTTACGGCAGTTGTGGATTTAAACCAAGTTAAATTTTTCACTCAAGGGTGTAAAATTAAAGCTGGTCGTTCTGGCTTTACAAGAAAACCATTTTAAGTCGAAAAACGTTGCTGTAAATAGCCAAAAAAAATGTTCGGAGACAGCCATCTCACTCTGACAAAAACACCAGGCCACCACAGTAACATGAACCCATAACTTTGGCCCGGCAAATTAAGGAGAAGGGTTAAATAGGACAAAAACATACATTAATTGCAACCTAAGTTATCATATTTCACCATGATATCGGTTAAAACGCATTAAAACCTATTAATACCTTGCATTACCCGCCGGAGTCAGCAGTGACTGACTCCGATCCCTTTTCTGGCCGGCCTGGACGGGTGTGTCACGTATTGTACTTGCGCTGGCTCGGTAAATCGGTTAAGAGTGCTGCCTGGCTCCATTGTTCGAATGGAACGTGCAGGGCCTCGTGTGTTGACCAGGAGTGGGAAGGTGGAGGGTATACATGTTTAGCTGTTTTTGAAACCAGTTAGCTAATGGAGCGTGAGTACCGTGGAGGAGCGTGCGTAGCGTCATCGTGGTGGAGCATGAGTAGCGTGACCGTTTGTGGCACGTTCATTTGCATTTTTTGTGTACCATTTTTGTCTGACTGTATGCAGCGTGCCCACCCTCCATTTTGGAGTGTATAAGCCTGATGCGTGATTATACTCCGTTTCGGAGAATGTATACACAGAGCCTTCCATAAATTGCAAACAATGTATGTGCACACGTGTTTCACAGTACAGAGTATGAGGCTGTTCCGTTTCAGTGTGCCACGTTTAACACTGATGTTTCCTTTCATTTAAAATGGTTTTACACGAATTGCAGTAAACGAAAAGCGGCGCTTTTGTTGAGGGCCACCTATGTACTATTATCTCTCAAAGATAACCTAAATAAAGCTGCAATGACCTGCAGCACTTGGATAATTTTGTACTCAACTATAGAAAGTATACTCCGCTGCCATATTTTTTTGAAATTTCCAACACTGTGCCAATTTCTACTTTATTCTCAACATTCCGCCTGTTAGGATTCGATATATAGGTATTCGATAAACGTATCTGTGTCTAGGGAGCACAACGCTACCAATGTCATCTGCATCTGACCCTTGCACACATTCTCATCCACCCTTACGTGAGCGCTCTCTAGCTTGTTTCTATGCTCAGCACCCAGCCATCCTAGCACACTCGGTCCGTTCAGTTTTTTTTTTTGCAGTCAGTTTTCTGCTCACACTCTCACACGCATTCATGTGAGCGCACTGCTCGCACTACCCACCGTTTTTCTTCCGCACTTGCTCACATGCAGATCTGTACCTGCGTGAGCGTTCTATTCTGAACGCCCCGTACATTCTCATTTTTTTAAGAGAACGCAACACAATTCGTCATGCTCCTCCCATAGAGCGCAAGCAACTGCACTGCGCAATCGGAATTCAAACCGGCAGCCCCACGTGGAAGTCCGACACGCTAGCCACTGGGCCGTCCAGCTCTCCTTGACATTACATTACGCCCTTCTGTCCACACGCTCGGCCCGCTCCCGTGTTCTACCCCCTCCTATTCTTACCTGCTCCTTTGGTGAGCGCCCTGCTGAAGCTCCCACCCGCTTGGCCCAACCCACCGTCGTCCACACTCGCCTGGCTGCGCCCATCCCACCTGCTCGATTGCACACTGCTAACACTCGTACATGTTAGCTAGGCGCCTTGCGCACATTCTCAGAGGCAAGTGACCACTCGGCTGCTGTTCTCCCTTGACTGCGGGTGAGAGCCCCGCTCACATCCTCTCCTGTCTGTGCTCACCCCGCTGCAACTCCCACCATCTCCCGGGGATTGCCCTGCCCCACACACCCACCGTCTCTGGATGATCTCTCCGCTCACAGTTTCAACCGCTCGCTGGTGATCTCTGCTCACATTCTTACCTGGCCGCTGGTGATCTCTGCTTACAGTCTCACCTGTCTCTGGGTGAGCGCTCCGCTAACAGTGGGCCCGTCGGCCGCGGCCGCCGCTGGCTCGCCGTCCAGCCGCGGCTTCTTCCGCGGCCCGATGGCATTGAGCGCTGTAAGGTTAGCCTCGCGCTGCCGCACCTCCTCCATCTCCATCCGCTGCATCTGCAGGCCGGGCGCAAAGCCCAGCGTCACCCCTCAGCACGGCCGTCCACCAGCCAAGCGCTCTCAGCGGGCTGCGACGCAGCTTCAGCCCGCGCGCGCCATCATAGCATGCATCGGACGCGATTCCCTACTCGGCTCACATCATTCACGTTAATGACGTTATACAATTGCTCGTGCAAAGTAACTACATCTTACCGGAATGTTACGCTCTATATTTTGCTCTAACTGGTATCTTTGGTATTTAATGCTTTGCTATACTTGGTATCCTTGGTACCTAATGCTCTGAAGTACTTGGTATGAAGAAATCTAGATTTTAAAAAGCTCCATTCCACCTCATTCCAAACGGAATGCAACGGCGAGGCTTACCTCTTTGGCCTTGGCCTTGAGTTTGGCCTGCTCGGGATCCTCCGTTTTCGAGCGGCTCTTAGCGGCGCGCATCAGCATCTCGCGCTCGGTGTCCTCGTGGCGCTTCTGCTCCAGCTTGTCCAGCTCCTCCAGGAAGCGCAGCTGACCGCGCACGTCACGTGACACCTCGTAGCGGCTCTCTGACTGCAACACCGGCGGACGGCTCAGCGGCCGCAGTCGGACGCGCCTCCCCGGCCGCCCATCAGCACCGCTCGCCAGCGCTGTCACCAGCGGGCTCAGTTCACTGGCCACGGTGCGCAAGCGTTGTCATCAGCAAGCGCCCGACCCCGCGCCCCTCTGACCGTTGAGAGCTCTACAGGATCACGAGGCCCGATCTATCTGGACGCCTATTGAGATCGCCCTGCCCACGGCGAGTTAATATTGCCGCATATCGCCGACGTCGGCCCTTCACTCGATCCCATATCACGACGGAACTGTTTCCAGGCAGCTCGACATGGAATGGAAGACTGGTTACCTCAAATCCCCGTCGATCGAAGACAATCACTCAGGATTTGAACGCCATATTCTGTATGGACTGCGTGCAGCGCACGACTACGGTGTCCATATGCGGACGTCATCGGTGGCCGGAGCACACATCAACACACACACGGCCGTTCCCGGCGGACCGAGCGCACGTCCATATGCGGACGTCCTCGGTGGCCCGAGCACACATCAACGCACACACGGCCGTTCCTGGCGGACCGAGCGCACGTCCATATGCGGACGCCCTCGGTGGCCCGAGCACCAATACACGCCCGGGGCCCCCCGGCGCAGCGGCGGGCCCCGGGCGGTCCTCTCCAGACGTCCGCGCACGCACAACACAAGACAACTGGTCTCCGACAACTCCAACGGTGATTCCTGTCACGGGAGTTGGCTGCTCGCCTGCCACTCCCGAAGTCATATATCCAGCCAGGGGCCTGCTCCAGCTCCCAGAGCACGCGGCTCCACACTTGACGTCAGGATCAGCTCCAGTTCTCAGGCGGCCGAGTGACGCCTGCCCACCAGACCTGCTCCACAGGCCCCACATCTGCCACACAGCTCGTCCCTGAGACGTGCCCCACGGTTGCCCTGACCGCCGCTCGGACGTGCCGCTCCACAGCTCGCCTCGGCGGCCAGCTCACCTTGACCACCTCGATGCGGTGCTCGGCGATGACGGCCAGCTGCTCGAGCAGCGACCTCAGCCGCTCCTGGGTGGCGTGCGACACGAGCGCCACCACGTCCGGGCCGGGCTCCTCCAGACCGTGCCGCATCGCTGGCGGCGGCAGGCGGCCGGTCAGGCCAGCCGCGACACCGCAGTACCGCCAGCACCGCATGACGGCCACAATGGTCAGGCCCACCGACGCGGACGGCACTGGCCAGCTCCGAGCGGCAACATCCGCACTCCGCATCGCCTGAGTCAGCGCCACACAGCTGCCCCCGCCGGTCCACTCCAGCGCATGACTCACCGATCTGCCGCATCTTGAGCTGGAGCGGCGCGCTCGGCAGGAACGTCTCGTCCTTGATGCTGCGGATCTGCGTGCCCACGTATTCAGTGCTGCCCAGGATGTGCTGCGACTCCTCCTGCAGGTTGACGCCGCCCATCGCCGCCACATCGTTGATGTCGTCATCGTGGCCCGACTCTAGCGACGATCTGCCACAGACGCAGCGGCAGCGTTCAGAGACGGAGGCGACACCAGACGTGGCGCAGCCAGCTCAGAACGCGCCGTACTATGCAGCACATGATTTCATGACGCACATAAGGAACAGATCTTAGACCTGAAATCTCGGGCGTCAACTAGATTGCTGAGAACTAAACCCTGCCAAAATTGGTCGGAAAACACGTTCTCACATATGTGACTTCCAATGCTCGCCTGTACGTCAGGCACAATGCCGAGCTCTCTATGTGATAAGCACGTCGAGCCTCCGCCTCTGGCAGCCTCCCGGCATCCGCTTTCCAGGCTCCGCCTCCCAAGCTCCACCCCTCCCCCCCGCCTCCGCCTTCCAGGCTCTATCTCCCAAGCTCCACCCCTCCCCCGCTCCGCCTCCGCCTTCCAGGCTCCTTCCCCCAAGCTCCACCCCTCCCCTCCCCCCGCCTTCCAGGTTCCGTCTCCCAAGCTCCGCCCCCCCCCCGCCTCTGCCTTCCAGGCTCGATCTCCCAAGCTCCGCCCTCCCCCGCCTCCGCCTTCCAGGTTCCGTCTCCCAAGCTCCGCCCCCTCCCCCCCCCCCCCCCCGCCTCCGCCTTCCGGGCTCCATCTCCCAAGCTCCGCCCCTCCCCCCGCCTCCGCCTTCCAGGCTTTATCTCCCAAGCTCCGCCCCCTCCCCCCGCCTCCGCCTTCCAGGCTCGATCTCCCAAGCTCCGCCCCTCCCGCCCCCCCCCCCCCCCCGCCTCCGCCTTCCAGGCTCCACCTCCCAAGCTCCGCCCCCTCCCCCCCCCCCGCCTCCGCCTTCCAGGCTCCATCTCCCAAGCTCCGCCCTCCCTCGCCTCCGCCTTCCAGGCTCCGTCTCCTACGCTCCGCCACCCGGCTTCCGTCTCCCGCTGCCTCTTCAAGCTCCGTCTATGAAGCTCCGCCTCCCGCTCCGTCTCTAAGCTCCGTCTCCCAGGCTAGGCCCCTAAACTCCGCCTCAATCTCCGCCTTCTGCCCGTCTCCCAAGCTCCGCCCCCCCCCCCCCCCATCCCCCAGGCTCCGTCTCCAGGCTCCGCCTCCCAAGCTTCATCTCCCAGGCTCCGCCTTCCCGTCTCCGTCTCCCAAGCTCCGCCTCCAAGGCTCCGTCTCCCAAGCTCCAGCTCCTAAGCTCCATTTGTCCGTCGCCCACCGCGTCTCGGCCGGCGATTGATTCTTACTTGAAGTTGAGCCGTTTGTCCTTCTTGAGGGTGACAACGGGCGGCTGTCGCTGGGTCACGAGGCCTGCGGGCGACGGCGACGGCGACGGCGCAGACGCAGGCGCAGCCGCCGCCACCGCCGTCGGTGTCCGCACCAGCTTGGCGCCCGACTGAAACTGGCGGAGACCAGGCGTTAGCGACCGCGGCCACCCGCCAGCATCACGCCGACAACGATTACGCGCTCCAACGTAACAGCCAGCCGGGACCCGCCAGTGCGGCGGCACGCGTGGGGACCGGACGCGACGATGGACCCAATGAAGACGCCCGTACGGCGGTGAGCGGTACGCTGCGGGGGTGTCTGAATGAGTTGGAGGGTACCCGTACCCTCAAGTAGAGGGTATGGAAGCAAGGTACGCTGGCATGCGGAATAGTGGGCGAACAAGTGTCCTGTGTGTGACGCTGTGACACGGAGTTAATCAGATCTATTTGCTTGGATATTATTGCAAATGCTCGGGCCAGGGGCCAGGGGCCCAGCTTGCAGACGACGTTCACGAACAGCTGATTATCATCTCCTGCCGCGACCCCACGGACAATGGCCGTTCGACAGCGCACCGCAGCGTCGTCAAACTACAGATGGACGTAAAGGACAACTGTTCACACGCAAACGACGTCTGGCTGGGAGGCAGGCCTGATGTGGCAAACGACGTCGCACGCCTACGCCTACCGCACACGAGTCACTACAGTACAGCGGCGGCGGCCTTCGCCCCACACCCGTGCCCGGTCAGCGGGCGCAGCGAGAGCGGGGCGCCGTGGCCGCGTGCACGCACCGGCTGTATGTTCAGCATGGCCGGGTGTCCGGAGGTGACGTTGCGGGGTGCGGCGACGGCACCGGCCAGCTGTCGCGTCGGGCCGGCGGCGCTGACGGCCGGCGATACCGTGACCTGGCGCGGCTGCACCTGCGACCCACGGCCGGCGCCCGGTCACCAGCCGCGGACGACGCACACCGGTCAGCCGTACACACACACATACACACCGCGCCTAGCTGGCGGCCGGGACACCGCGCAGGTGCTAGATCGCACCCATTGCTGGTGGGATGTTCAGCTCTGCAGCCGGGGCCTGAGAACACGACTCGTACCGAACGCTGGCGTCCTGTCTACTGTCCCCACTGGTTGTCCCATACCATACGGTCCAGTTGGCTCGGGTGGCTGCCACTTCACACCCCGCGCCGCGCTACACAGCCCCGCCGAATGCCTCAATGTCACCCTCTCTCGCTCCGCCACTGACCCTCCCCACTCCCGCTCTGCCACTGACCTTCCCCCTCTCCCGCTCCATCACTGACCTTCCCCCACTCCCGTTCTGCCACTGACCCTCCCCACTCCCGCTCTGCCACTGACACTCTCCACTCCCACTCCATCACTGACCTTCCCCCACTCCCGTTCTGCCACTGACCCTCCCCACTCCCGCTCTGCCACTGACACTCCCCACTCCCACTCTGGAACTGACACTCCCCGCTCCCACTCTGCCACTGACCTTCTCCTATCCTGCTCCGCCACTGACCCCCCCCCCCCCCCCCCCAATACTGCTCTGCCACTGACCCTCCCTTCTCCCGCTCTGCCAGTGACACTCCCCCACTTCCGTCCTGCCACTGACCCTCCCCCGCTCCCAATCTGCCACTGACCCTCCCCCCCCCCTTCCACTCCCGCTCTGCCACTGCCACTCCCCTCTTCCGCTCTGCCACTGACACTCCCCCACTTCCACTCTGCCACTGACCCTCCCCCACTCCCACTCTATCACTGACACTTCCCTCTTCCGCTCTGCCATTGACACTCCCCCACTTCTGCTGTGCCACTGACCCTCCCCCACTCCCGCTCTATCACCGACACTCCCCCTCTTCCACTCTGCCAGTGACACTCCCCCACTTCCGCTCTGCCGCCGACACACTGCGCGACCCCGGCGGCGACGCGCCGCCCCTCCGCAGGCCGCCGTACGTACGTGCATGGACGGCACGGTGCCGAGAGGCGTGGGGAGAGCTGACGGCGGCGGAGGCTTCACACCCTCGATGGTGATCTCGCGGTTGTACAGCGACTGGCGCAGGAACGGCAGGCTCTTCTGCGCACGGCAGCAAACGTGGCGTTCAGCAGCGGCACCAAAGCGAGCACCGGGACCACTCTGGGTCGGCGTCACACAGTCGCCGGTTCATCTCGCGGGCCATCAAGGCCGGCCGGCAGCTGCCCATCCAGATTTGCACGAACCATGCGCACGGCTATCACAAACATCCGAACCACTAACCAACTAGGTCATGGAACAGAAGGCCAGACTTGTAATAAGTTAAAAGCAAGCGAGACATGCCGTAACACTCTGAAAATCATAGGATCCAATCAATCATCTACGGTGCTTGGGTCCAGTAAGGAGTTTATGCAGTTCCTTTGGGAGGAAATTGGTGAAATAGCCGTATGTTATATAAATAGCGCTTACAGAGTTGGGAAGCTTTTCATTCGAGGGAGGAAAATCCCATTTGTATAGGGTATTAAACTGAAGTAGCCATCGTAAAGATCATTCAGACTGTTCACAGCCGTGCTATTCAGAAGACCTAAACCGCTCTTGTTTCTGAGCTATACGCTTACAAAAATGTGCACACCGTTTCGTGCAAACTAATTCAATGTCACCCGGGCTTCCAAGACACCATAACATTATTGAAATCCCGCCATTCCATTGGCCGTGCGGCGATCAAGACCAATAGAAACATGATTTTCGAGTCGATGATATCTGGTGTTTGTGAGCCCGATTTCCTGATATAACGGCCGTCCATTGGCTCTTAGTCAAGGTTGTGCTATGTACCATGAAGCAATCGGTGACGTATTGAGGAGCATATTTATTAAATAAAGAAATAGTGTTGTCTAGAACAGTCATTTCCAAAGTGTACCAATAGTTATGAGCGAGCTTATCATCTTCAGAGCTGATAATAATAGTCCGCGCTCAACAGCGTTGAGTACCGTGTTACGCATCTTACAACTGTTTGGTTTCGGGGGGGGGGGGGGACTTTCATTGAGTGGACTGTGCTACTTTACAACGATACCGAATAAGCGGTGATAAGCAATGCCCATACATTGGAATATTCCAAGCCACATAGTAAAAACTAAACAAGAATGTTAATTTTGTAGAGCTATTCAACTTAGCAGTTAAACTACGTACCACTTATATCCGAGAATTAGCTGTTACCAACGGCATCTATCAAAACACCCACATAGTGGAAACATCACAGCACGCGGATAAGACGAAGATGTTCGTGAATGACGCGGGGTAAGCGAGAGACCTGATGAATACACTGACGGAACCTTCTGAGGTATCCGGTCTATTGCTAAACGTGCGCAACTCCAGTTGAAGTGGGTTGGTAGTTCGTCTACCTTCGAGTAGTGTGTGAGTGTGGGTGTGGGGTCCCTGCAACGAAACACTTTCCGATTTCGGGTGGATGGTTTGACACCGTACAGAATTGCGGGGCGGACCGTCTCAATCCGTTAATGAACAACGCACACTTAGGATTAAGATGCGGCATCAAAGAATGCTGAGCATAAAGGGTCAGATAACGGAAGCCGAAAATCTGTTGATATCCAAACCGATTTACATCATGCCCCGTGCTACAATTCAGGCGACGCAGCTGCGGCTAGCACAGTCTCACATGATAAAGGTTCTGTGGAGGGGGAGACCCCAAAAGGTCGCTGTCAGAATATACGCGATGATGGTTTGAGTGCTGTAGCTGTGATGTATGAGGTTTGTGTAAGAGCCTGAGATTAGGTTAGGTGAAGACAATACCGCTAGATGTACCTTAGGCTGAAATGCCACAAGCTAGATGTGCTCCTTATAACTTGTGCGACTTACTAAAATCCAGATTCAATGACGCTTACGAACACCGATCGGGCTTTCAGACTTTTATGTTGACTTGCTGGAATATGAAGAAGTGACCAATCTAAAAAAGATCGAGACGCTGAGCTGAGCGACACGGCCAACACGGCAAACGCATGCTGGCCACACGCCTCGCCCTCCCGCCGCCAGCGCCTTCACCTTGAGGAAGGGCACCAGACACGGCTGGGGTGACGAGTTCAGCTCCTGCTGCAGCCGGCTGGTGAACGCCTCGGGCTCGACACGAGCGTCGATCAGATTCTGGATCAGCGTGCGCACGTTGCCCGCCACCGTGTCGGGTTGTTCCTTGGCCAGCTTCAGCAGGGTGGCCAGGAAGTTCCTGCACTTGAGCTTGGCCGTGTCCGGAGCCATGGCGCTCTGCGGCTGTCGGCCGGTAGCGGACGGTGAGCGAGCGGTGAGACAACGGAGTTGCGGCAGTGGGAGGCGCCATTCACAGAGGCTCTCACAGGCCGGGTCACGTGAGATGGACGCGGCACGGTGCGGGAAGTGGCGACCCACGGGGACATGCTCTGGGGCCGGCTGCTGTGGCAGGGTCGCCAGGCGTGTAGCTCACAGGCCACACCATACTGGGCACGTCACACGGCAACAACGCTGCACTAGCAACATCCGACGTACACTCAGCTCATCTGCAGTCAATGGAAGACCAGTACCACTACTAGCATCCACTACGCGCCTTAAAGGGAGTGTTCCACACTTAAAGATATTGAAGCAATCGTCAGATTTGATGAAATACGTTCACTTGTAACTTTTGGTTGGCTTTCAAGTGGTAAGGGCTGCTTTAAACAACGCAATTTCTGTTTATTAAATATGCTCGTCAATACGACATTGTTTTGTTACATTATCATACCTTGCACAACATTGATTGAAAGCCAACTGACGGTCGTTACATATAGAAATCGTGCTCACCAAGTCTGATATGAAGGACTCGACAATTATATTTTTCCTGGCCAAGATCGCCGCAAGGTCGAGGGAATGACAGGATTTAAATGACTTTATTGTAGCGTCGCGGATGACTGGGTGACCATGAAATAGTCTCCCCGAAAAAGCCTGCACACATTGGCGGTCGTATGGCCCAGAAACTGGAAGGATTTCTAGAAGACACTAGAAGGGTCTCAAGCAGGGCAAGGCCGTGGACTGGGCAGCATGATCTTCAAGACGTCTATTTCAGTGCAAAACCCCGCACAAATGTGGAACATTCCCTTTGAGTGGGTGTCATTGGGGCTTTACAACGCACTCAGCGGCTGAGGCTATATGGCGTCGCCTGCCTCTGACCCTGGCGGGAAGGGCGGGCACCGTGGGGAACCGAACCCCGTATCTCTGGTTTCCCAGACACGTTAACCGCTACACTACCGGCACGCTGAAACGTTTCCTTCGATGGGACATCTGCGTGGGATGACTGGGATATATGAATTACATGCGTGCTAATGAGATGTAAAGGACGCACGTCCTAACGCCGTTAACATTTCCTGTCAACATTCTAATGTTGACATTACGCATCTCAAATACGTTACAGCAAGCCGGCTCTGAGACCAAATCGGGGGCATGCAGACAAAACTGCAAACAACGAACACGCCGGGAATGACTAGCAGCGGAATGGCAGCTCTGATCCACAGGCACCCACACCAAGTCCGCTACTGTTCACCTCAGTGCCCACGGCCCGGGCGACGGCGCGCGGCAGGGCGGCTACATGGAGCCCACGGCCCCGGTGACGGCGCGCGGCAGGGCGGCTACATGGAGCCCACGGCCCCGGTGACGGCGCGCGGCAGGGCGGCTACATGGAGCCCACGGCCCCGGTGACGGCGCGCGGCAGGGGCGGCACATGGAGCCACGGCCCCCGGGGTGACCGGCGCGCGGCAGGGCGCTACATGGAGCCCACGGCCCCGGTGACGGGCGCGCGGCAGGGCGGCTACATGGAGCCCACGGCCCCGGTGACGGCGCGCAGGCAGGGCGGCTACATGGAGCCCACGGCCCCGGTGACGGCGCGCGGCAGGACGGCTACATGGAGCCCACGGCCCCGGTGACGGCGCGCGGCAGGGCGTCTACATGAGCCCACGGCCCCGGACGGCGCGCGGCTGGCTGCTACATGGAGCCCACGGCCCCCGGTTGACGGCGCGCGGCAGGGTCGGCTACATGGAGCCCACGGTCCCCGGTGACGGCGCGCGGCAGGGCGGCTACATGGAGCCCACGGTCCCCGGTTGACGGCGCGCGGCAGGGCGGCTACATGGAAGCCCCGGCCTCGGTGACGGCGCGCGGCAGGGCGGCTACATGGAGCCCACGGCCCCGGTGACGGCGCGCGGCAGGGCGGCTACATGGAGCCCACGGCCCCGGTGACGGCGCGCGGCAGGGCGGCTACATGGAGCCCACGGCCCCGGTGACGGCGCGCGGCAGGGCGGCTACATGGAGCCCACGGCCCCGGTGACGGCGCGCGGCAGGGCGGCTACATGGAGCCCACGGTCCCGGTGACGGCGCGCGGCAGGGCGGTTACACGATCCGCAGCCGGCCACCGGCGGCCGACGGGGCTCACCTGCGGCGTGGACTGGGCAGGCGCCGCCGTCGCCGTCCGTGGTGTTGTTGGCGCCGGCGTCTGCGGCCACAGAGGGGACCGCGTGACAGCCTGGACACACGCGAGACGCCATCTCCACAAGCCACCGTCCCCGGCACTACTGTAGGACAGTACACCACAGGAACGACCACGCCCTGGTCAACCGGCGCGCTCTCTCCGCGGCTTTGCAGAGGACCCCGGGCGTCCAATCACTCTTCGTTCACCCCGTTACCAAAGCAGGACACTGCCCAACCCCAATAACAAAGTGCTTGTGCGAGCGACAAAGACATTACAATTCAGATAGAAATGGCTAGCCACCGAGTGAAAGCCAGAAATCGTATTCTATCATGAAGTGACTACTGTGGTGAGCGATCAGTGACCATAGGTGCACGCACGCATGTTCACCAGGCTGCGAACAGCTACGGCGGTGTTCCGGATTCACACACACACGCGTGTACGCGTGCCGTGTGCCCCGTGTGGTGAAGATAACGCGGACGATAACGCAGATAGCTGTGCGGTGGTGCATTCCAGCGGCCGTGAGCGGCGTGCGCATGTTGACACCCTGGTCCGATAGCCGGCCTGGCCAGCGGCGCCCTCCCATGAGGCGGTCCGAGCGCCGACCGCCCGGACAATGGTGAAGACGGACACGACTGCAGTCTTAGCGCGGTTGACACCAAAGGCACTTCGCGCGCGAGGACGCGGCGGAGCTCGCCTGTCCCTCCCCCTCCTCCTCCCCCCCCCCCCCCCCCCCTAACGTCAGGAACTGCCGCACCTAGACAGATCAGATGAGGTGAGGTGGGATCAGTGGAGCCGCCTCCGGTGCCTCAGACACCGGGCAGACTCCGTGTCCGCTGGTGACCTGCAGCCGCGGCGGGGCCGGCCGGCCGGCCCGCCCCCTCCCGAGCGGCCGCAGTCCGGATCACCATCGAAATGGATCCTCCCTCCACCTCCCGCGCAGCGATGGAGGGCGGGGAACCGACACCAGGAAAGAAGCGCGGCACGGCGACAGTCGAGTGCCAGCGGACAGGCCGGCTTCGTCACCAGGATCAGCCGCCAGCAGGCTCACATACGCCCACACACACCGCAAGCAGGTGTGTTACGTGCAGCACAGAAGCCACGCCCCCACGCCACCCGCCCACACCTGCACCCACACAAGCACACAGGCTAGCCGACGAGGACGGTGCGGTGTGCTCACAGTGCGAGAAAGCGGCATGCTCTTACCGCACCTTGTATATGTTAGGTAGGTAGCCATGGGGCGCGTAAGGGTGGTGGGAGGTGGGCAGCGGCGGCGGAGGCAGCGGCGCGCCCGGGCCGACCGGCCGGTGGAAGGGGCCGGGCGCCGGCTGTGGAGCAGCGGGGCGCCGTCACTCGGGCGGCGCGCGGGGCATGCGCACGGCCGCCCACCGGGCTCGCACGCGCACGGGCAGCCGGCCACAGCACATCGGATGCACACAATAGCCACGCCGAGAACAGCCAAGGAGGGCACAAAGAGCAGCCAAGACCCCCCATCGCTGGGGTGCCTGAGGGAGGCGCCGTCAAAAACGTGCCCTGGACCTCCGCATGGCTTTGAGTTCCCTTTCTCGTTATCTTTTAGCCATCTGTCCGCTTGCTGAGCCTTCATAGTTCTGCACAGATCTGATGTCAGCATGGTCCCTGTAGGAAGTCGTTGCACCACGCCGTGGCGTTTCAGCATTGTGACACAGTATTTACAGCACAGCCCTGCGGCGCCGAGTGAAAACAGCACCGGACAATCGACAATTACGCCAATGGGGAGCATCAGATGACGTTCGTTTTTTGAGATGAGTTTCCTTTCTAATCCAGAAAGCATAGCACTGGAACGTCCCCTAAAAAAGCTCCACCAAAGGCTCACTAACCTCTTTTGAGGAAAACTTTGGGAGAAGGCTGTTCAAAGATAACTGCCTCTTTTTTACATACAGACATCGCCGGGCAAAGCATGCGACGAACCAAACCGCACCATGTTAGCAAGTAGTTTAACCAAAAAAAGCAGCTTGAGGACTCAAAGTCGTTCTCTCAAGTGTCTCCTCGCACGAAAAAGCAGTTCCGAGGGGCGGACAAATTAAGGTTCAGGGTAGGTCATTGCAGCCGCCGAGGTGACATGACATGGCAGGTCATCGCAGCCGCCGAGGTGACATGACGGGGTAGGTCATCACAGCCGCCGAGGTGACATGACATGGTAGGTCATCGCAGCTGCCGGGGTGACATGACATGGTAGGTCATCACAGCCGCCGAGGTGACATGACGGGGTAGGTCATCACAGCCACCGAGGTGACATGACATGGTAGGTCATCGCAGCTGCCGGGGTGACATGCATTGCCGCGCATCGCTGACCATGTCAAAACACATAGGACTAGCACTGCTAATGCAAGGGCATTGCTTTTGTTTCTAAGGCGAGCCTTGTATTATAACTCCTGTATAGCACGCAGGGTGAGCTATCTCAACTAAGGAATCTCCTACTTGCTTACAGCCAGCCTTGAAGTAGAACATAAGGCGAGCCATGATGCACATATATATATATATATATATATATATATATATATATATATATATATATATATATATATATATATATTGGTGGCCAGACTACACATGCGGCATGCTGGTATAACAAAAAGATTACCTCATGGGTTTAGCATGGGAGATGCACAATGAGAATAGCATTTGAAAACCAACATACAATACTATTTGAAAACTGGTTGTCTTTGAGTCTGACCAGTGTCATTGAGACCACCAATTTTCAGTCACCAAAAGCTTATGCTTTTGGTGAATGTCATCTTCATACCACCCACATTGGGGCTTTGCAATGCACTCAGCTACTGAGGCTTTATGGCATTGCCTGCTCTCACCCTGGCAGGAACGGCAGGCACTGCAATGAGTTGAATCACACACCTTTGGTTTCCCGTGTTATGTCATTGGTGCTTTACGATGCACTCAGCTGTTGAGGTTATATGGCGTCGCCTGCCTCTCACCCTGGCAGGAAGGGCGGGCACTGCGGGGAATTGAACCCCGTACCTCTGGTTTCCCAGATGTGCAGCCTAACCACATAACTTTCAGTACCCCATGACCACTTCATTTCAGTACCAAAACTAGCTGAACATTATACACAAGTATGGATCTCCCACGCCAAAGAGTCCATCTATTTAAAACGCATCTAAGATGAAAGGTTTGCATGGGTGGCTTATGTTTAGAGCACCTGAGCATGCTGCATGCATGCTAAGCCCAACAATGTCTTGTTGGCCAGTTCAACAGGTGAAAGGTGATAAACACAATGATAAATGATAGGTGATATGATAGGTGACAAACAATGATAGGTGATACACACAATGACAGGTGATAAACAAAATAATTTGCAAGCTTCTCATCAGAAGCAAAACGATTCTGAGTGCATGCCAAGTTCACTCAAATTCGCAACAAACCTTAACCTAACAACCTGAGTCTAAAACAAAAATTTAGCATTGCATAACACAGACTGGCTATTATATTTCTGTCTGTAGTGGTACATTGTATAGATCAGACAGTCTCTCTCAGTAAACAAGGATACTACAAGAATGAGGAGATGCTGGCACTACTACAGGACAACCAAAACACAGCGAAATATAAACAAATCTCAGGAATGGCTGAGGAGAGCCAACAGTGACGCTTTCCCTCGACAGCTTACCATTTTAGGAAATTATAGCACACTAAGTGAGATTTGGTTTCAGCATATGTGGTTTACAATTTGTTTCACCTGTTTCTCCCAGTCTTATCAAAACTTTTATGCTCTGGTCTGTATATAAGAAGGATTAAGATCATGCAAGAAAGTATGGAGCACTTCTTACAAATTATATGTGCATCATGTAAAACCATACTGCTATGTGTCACATAAAACAATGCTACATATGTTTTTTGTTGCATTTCAAGGCATGGTGGCAGCATATTATAAGATATAAACACCTCTAAATGCTAGTGTGCAATGATGTCATTAGCATGTCTTTTTTTACAAGTTTCATCCTTTTCATGAGTAGGGATGGAATGGCATACTTGTCACATGACCATGACACAAATATTATTTTTCAGGATCTAAGTATGTCTTATCTATCACAGATGGATGAGGCAATTCACACCACTGGGCCTGCTCACGCACCTTATAGGTCGGTGTTGTGGTCAACGCTGTAGTGCTGATGGTGGTGGCAGTGGCTACAGCTCCACCCTGGACTGGCAGCTGGATCAGCTTCAGCTGGCCATTCTCTGTCCTCACCAGGATGTGGTTGGAGCCAGAGTTCTGCAAACCTTGCAGGGCCTGCAGTGTGATTGGCTGCTGCAAAAGAATGACCATTGATGAGAGGTAAGATACAGCAAGTATTTGACAAAAAATGATGACATGTGGATTGATGTTGCCTGTGGACTCTTTGTGCACAAAACTGGCTCTACCTCTACAAGCCAACAGCACCCACACAACATGCATGACAAATGATACTGGAGGCACCATTTATCACAAACAACTGGCAAAGATCAGTGCACTCATGAGGCATTCAAAAATTGTGTATGCACTGTCATGATTATTTCCTAAAGGCAGCACAAGAACTGCAATTTCAAATGTTTACCCCTAGTGGTGCTATCTAATCTCATGGCATATATTGGTCAGTCTAAATGCACTGCTGCCTTATATAATGGAATATTCACTGGCATAGCCAATCAGCAGCTATCAAGAAAACTCATGAAGGTTTGTGAAATCTTTTGAGACCTTGCAGCAGCCTGCACAATGCCACTAAGACAAAATGAGACCTGGACTTTATCAGCTCATAACAACTGAAGTTGAAGAGCTACCTTCCAAACTGTCTTGATTAGTGACATCAATGAGCACAATTTCAAAAAGATATTGCCATAGCATGCAAGCAAAATATGCAGTACAATAATGAAAAGCATTTAAGTGCAGAAGCATCCCATTACTTAAATAACATACTGAAGCAAATGCTATCAAGAAAACCTAAAACCAAACCTGTCAATAACTTGGTGTTAGGCAAATTGTTATCAAAATCTACATCTACATAATTACTTTTTATGTTTTGGAGTGGTATACCACGTTGCAACACAACCAGCAGTTAGAACGCACATGTGACTAAAGGTGTATCTCAAAGGTCCTACTTGATATAATTACAATATACATTGTGGAGTGCATCACATCAAGTACAATAACTCATACACACTTATTGAGAACAGCACAGGAAAGTGCAGGCACACATTAATGCAGTTTCAAATCATATTGCTGTAAAATACATACAAACATAAAACAATACTTGCATCAAATAGCAATATTATTGTTATAGTTACACAAGTACAACTGTAAAAACCTGCATATAACACAAATTAATGTATCATGCCATGTGCAAAATTTCCTATAACTTCTACTGCACTGAATTGCAACTGAAAGTTAACATACCCCAGGTGATGCAGTCCTGTTAAGGCCTTGGGATGACAGAACAATCCGGGGTGCAAGTGCCTTCTGCATGCTGGGTGATTGGGTGCGAGCTTGGTTGACGTTGATAATTTGTACACCACTTGCCAATGCATTGGTGGCACCAACACCAGTCAGTGCTGCTCCAGCTATGCCACCAGGTCTGTTTACTGTGATGACAGTTGCTGGATTAGAAGGCTGTACAACATTTTCCAGCTTATTCCCCACTGCTGTTTGTTTTCCATTAGCTATGACACTTTGGACACTGCTATTGGACCCATTAGGGAAGCTGGCACTGCTGATGGTATACTGTCCTCCAACAGCAGGCTGAGATCCACTTGTATGCACTAATTTCATTACATTAGGGGTGTTCACGGCACTCCCCACGCTGCCAGATGCCTGGTTGCTGGAAGGGAAGTGACCTGTCTGGATCACTCCTGCCTGGCTGTGAGCCGAAACGTTCCTAAGACCTGCACCAGTCACTACGGCACTCCTTGGAACGTTCGAATGCGCATTTTTGTTTCCATCTTGGGCAATAACGACACCATGCTGAATCCCATTTGCGGGAACACGAGCGTCCACGCGCGACACCCCCACCACACTGACGGCCGAAGGAGCACTACTACTGATGTTCGATACACCAGATGCGGCCGTTTGTACACTGGACACTTGTCCAGAGTACAGTTGATCCTCTAATGTGCCAACCAAGGCTGTAAACGCGCTCTCATCCACTTTACTATTCAAGAGGTCGTCGAGCGACCCAGCAGCCGCCATGTTGCCGCGAGGCGGACTGCCCGACTGACACTGCGCATGCGCATGGGCATCCCTACGTCACGAACTACGTATAATCGGTATCAAATGCTTCCATATTTATTTTATTCGCATGATGCTTGTAGTATTATGGCGGTCTGGAGTGAGGTCAACGAAGGATTTTCACCTTCTTTCGTCTTTTTCTTACTATTCTCAAGTTTTTTTCTTGGGGCTTATTAAAAAGCACGTAATGAGGCGTTACACATGTACTGCACCTAAATTACATGAAGACATTTTTACTAACACGAACATATTGAATATACGTATAACGCCAGATGCATGTGGTTACCTTCAACGAACAATTTGTGGACATCGGATCGATGCCAGCCTGTTTCACAACTTTTCATCCAATCAGTTCTAATCCTCTTGCTTTTGACGTACGTGCGCTCTTTTACCTTACCTTGTCTCACCTTATGGCGGTCGAGCATTATAAAAGGCCACTAAGCCTGCCGGTCCCGGTCTCTCAGGCTTCCGGGCCGGTAACAAAACGGTCTCAAATTATAGGTAGATTCACTGTGAAATGTCATACATGTCAGCCCAGTGCATATCAAGGCTAGACTTGAACTGTTCAACTGAGGTTGACGGTACGACCGGGTGTAGAAGAGCGTTCCAATCGTTGACGACCCGCGTGCTGAACGAGTTACGACGAACGAGAGTCCTAGCTGGCGGTTTTCTCAGCTTCCATTGGTGTCCTCTTGTCACCTCCGAGTTGTGTCTTGTCAGGCACTCCTCTTCCGAAGCGACACATGTTGCTGTCGGAAACGGAGTTCTGGAGCCCTGGACTGGAGTTCCAGTCTGGCCCCACATGGACCCTAGGTGGCTTGTCCATATGGGACCCAGTTGGTTGCCCATGACATGCCCATATGGGACCGAAATGGGTCGTAACTAGGCGGTTCAGGTGGACCCCATGTGGGTCCCAGTTTGGCCTCATGTGGGCCCTAGGTGGGCTGGCTGCCCATGTGGGACCCAGTTGGTCGCCCATGACATGCCCACGTGGGACCAAAGTTGGCAGCCCGATGGGCCCCATATGACTGCCCACCTCGGATCCAAACGGGTCCCAGTTGGACATGCTGGCTCGGATACCTCCATGAAACAGCTGGTACACTGTAACCGTGTCTCCCTTGCGACGACGGTACTACAGCGAGGGCAACTAGAGGAGTCTGAGTCTTTCAGGGTATAGTCCGTGCCTCACTTCATAGACAAGACGAGTAGCTCGTCGTTGAACCCGCCCCAGCCGCCTCTGGCTCAGTTTGCCGAACGGGCCCCAGGTGACGTTGTCATACTCCAAGTACGGACGTACCAAGATCTTAAAGAGCAATGGCAACGTGTGGGCATCGATGCTGGCAAAGACCGCCTCACGACCGCCACCATCTGTTTGGCCTTGGAGATATCTTCCGCCGTCTGCACGTGGAACATGAGCCTATAATCCACAAAGATCCCGAGGTCCTTCTCGATGGACTCGACCGCGATTTCAGCACAGTCCAAGAAGAAGGTCAACCTTTGGTATCGGTTCCCGATGTGCAGTACTTTGCACAATGCCGCACTAAGGGGGAGCAGCCAATCCGTTGACCACTTGGGCAGGGCGTCGAGGTCAACCTGTAGAGGTGAGTCGATCAGGGGCCTCGGGACACGACTTCGAGAAATACGAGCTGTGCCACAGCCCAGCTCAGCGACCGGCACACCTTCACCGAGCCGCCAGACCAGCTAGGCCGCCGGACCGGCCGGACCGAAAGCCAGCGCCCAAGGTAAAGGCGCCAGCCCCCGTCCCGGGGGCTGGCGCTCAAGGTCCACACCCGGTCGTCATCGGAAGTGCCACCGTCCCGGCCCGTCCCGGGGGGGGGGGGGGGGGGCTGGTGCTCAAGGTTCACACCCGGCCGTCATCGGAAGCGCTACTGGACCGGCCCGTCCCGGGGGCTGGCGCTCAAGGTCCACACCCGGCCGTCATCGGAAGTGCCACCGGACCGGCCCGTCCCGGGGGCTGGTGCTCAAGGTCCACACCCGGCCGTCATCGGAAGTGCCACCGGACCGGCCCGTCCCGGGGGCTGGCGCTCAAGGTCCACACCCGGCCGTCATCGGAAGTGCCACCGGACCAGCCCGTCCCGGGGGATGGCGCTCAAGGTTCACATCCAGCCGCCTTCGGAGGCGCTGCCGGACCGGCCCGTCCCGGGGGCTGGCGCTCAAGGCCAACGACTACCCACACGAAGGGCGGAAGCCCGCCCGGGGAAGGGGATGGCACTCAATGTCACGCAACCCACGCAACCTGCATCTTGGCAAGATCGCCATGTCGCTACTGTCGGCCGTTACAGCGTCCCTTGCAGCCCGGCACTGCCGCCATGACGCGCCACGCACCGGATAGAACAGCGTCCGAGGCCACGCGACGGCGGGCACGGGAGCCGGGTGTCGCCACTGAGCGGCAGCCCAGCATGGCAACTGCGTCACTCAAGCCTGGCGAACAATTAGCCGTCAGCGTCGGGCCGGTGACATAAAAGGCTCGCTTGTAGGATTCGGGCTCTTTCAAAGCTCTCTTTCGCCAGGACTGGTGAGGCCCAGTGCTACGTGTGCTGCTGAGACTACGGGCTTCTGCCAGACATGTAAGGGCTTGTGCGTTTCATCCGGACTAGCCGGAATGAAATGTGGCTATTGATGGACAGTTGGTCTTTGTAGTTTTCCAGTGCAGTGCCACTTACGATTATATCGCTGAGTGTTGTGGGTGCTGCGTCTCGATCCTTCTGGCCGGACGGCGTGTTAGCTTTTTTTTAGCAGTCTTTGTTAAATGAAAATGCAAGATTAGTCGTGTACCAACACTTAAACCGGCAAGCTAGCTGGGTTCGAACCACCTAGAGCGTATGAATGAAAGGCTAAGGAGAAGGCTCAAAGGATAACAAACAATTGCAGGAAACAATTCCAACACGGCGGTATATCTTGGTGTCATCCGCGAGCATCTTGACCACGCTTCGCACGCGTTCTGATAGGTTGTTCACGGAGGTTATGAATGGCGTTGGTCCCAGCACTGATCCTTGCGGGATGCCGCTGACGATGTCCATCCAACCTAACTTCGAGCCCTGAACTCGCACCCTCTGCGTCCGGTGGGTAAGGAAAGCCCTGATCCAGCGTTGCAAGTTGCCTCTCACACCATAAGCTGGAGCTTCGAGACCAGACGGTTATGATGTACAGAATCAAAGGCTTTGCTTAAGTTCAGGTGCGCTACGTCCACCGGCTCTCCATCCTCTACCGCGGCGCTCCAATCTTCTCATAGCTGGGTGATGCAGGGCTGCTTTGGGAGAAACCCATGCCAGGCTGCATGGATAAGTCCAGACTCCGATAAGTGATTAACTGGGGCATCTCGGACGAAAGATTCGAGTATCTTGGAGGGAGCAACAGCGAGACTCATGGGGCGGTAGCTCGCTGGGGACTGTTGGCTACCTTTATTAAAGATCGGGGCTACCTCGCCAAGCTTCCACTCCCGGGGGAGCCTTCCGGATGTCAAATATTTTTTTTGGAAAAGCGTGCTGGGGACTGCCAGGCATTGTCAAGGCGTCTGCAGGCTCACGGAGAAGCCCACCGTGGTCATCGTCTGATTCAGGGCCGCTCGAGGTCTTCAGAGCAGCCAATTTCTTTTGAACTGCCTGAGTAAAAATATCTACGTCATCAAGAAACGATCCAGTAAAGTTGCAAGGCATAACAGGCAGGGCACTAGTCCCTTCGTCCGTGAAAACACTGGCGAAGAACATACAGAGGACATTGGCGTTCCCTTCGTTGCTGCTTGTCAACACTCCATCATCGTCAAGAAGGTCTTCTATCCTGCATCTTGCGCGTAGTAGTGAGTTGGCGTACCACCAAAAGGCTTTGGGGTCTCTTTTGGGGTCCGCTATTAAATTCATCTCAACTCCTTCCGAAGGTTTCTGGTCAACTACTGAAGCTCGTCGCGACACCGCACAAACCTGGCATGGTCCAGAACATCCTGTGTTCGCATGTACGTACGCCATAGTCTTTCCTTAGTCTTCTTTAGCTGCATGGCCCTTGGATTCATGTACAATTTCTTCTTAGGTTTAGTTCTCTTGAGGGAGCAAACCTCAGTACCCCTGGCGATTCCCTCCTCGAAGAACTTGTAAGCATCTTGGAGGCTGAGGTTATTCATCAGGGGCCAGTGCAGTAACCTGAGGGCGTCTGCCAGATCGCTCGTAATTTGTGTGTCAGCTGTCCTGGACGAGGACAGCTGACATATGTTTTGCCTTCGTAAGTCACGCTAGCTCGTCCTAGCTCCTCGTCGGATAAATTCTTTGGTGTCCAGGTACGGAAAGTTAAAAAGTCGAGGTGAAGGCAATTGGATATTTGGAAGCTATTTCTCATTGGATCCTTGACTTGCGCACATGTATCAAAATATGGCATCGTGCCAAACAACCGCAAGGTTCTTGCATTGTTTCGTGTGTGTAGTGACGTGCCGAGGATTATTTACGTTGCCGCTGTTTGTTTAGCGCCCGGGCGGCGTGGCTTGTGAGGTACTGGAAATCGCCCTCTGGAGCATCGCGGCCTGATCTCCCGGAATCTTCGGTCTTTTGCAGTGTATCACTTTCCGCTGCGGTCATTTTAGAGCGATAGCTGTAATCCCGTTTGTGGATGTCTTGCAGAACATAAGTTAACTCTCCACGCATGTTCTCGGGTTCCGCAAACGGTGCTGGCTTGCTCCTCGTTTTGCAATCTGTGCTACGTACATTGTGAATGACATGGTATCTGAGTCTAATAGTAATGATGGCTGAGAAGTATACAGTGTTGTGTGGCTGTTAAGATGTACTACTCTTCCTTGTATTGTTTGCTTTTTTGATAGTCAGCCTCATTTCTTTTTTGCCAGGCAAGATGCTGACACTGTTGGGGCGCAGCAGTTTGAGCTTGGTAGCCAGGAATTTTGGAGCCGCTCTACGACAACTGCATCACACTCCTTTGTATGACTTTCATGTGGCTCATAATGGCAAGATGGTGGAATTTGCTGGCTATTCTCTCCCTGTGCTTTATGGCAAGGAGGGAATCATCCAGAGCCACATGCATACTCGCACTGCATGTAGCATGTTTGATGTCTCCCACATGCTTCAGGCAAGTATTCTTCTCTATTTCCATGCAGGACTATGACAGGTGGTTAGGATATAAATTATGTGGTTTTATGATTCATTCTGTCATGTGTGGATCAGGCCCTACTAAAGTTAGGTGTGCATATTGCTGTGTTCAACTAATATAGAGTGCTTGTCATGTATTAATGGGATATTTAGCATAAAATAAATGAATTTATAACAAGTCAATTAAGTTCTACACATTAGCAATTCATATAATTCATATAATTCATATAATTCAAAGCAATTCATATAATTAGCATCAAGGATTGTGCATTAGTGCATAGCATTAAGTGTTATTTCTCTTCTACCACAAATCTGTTGCATAGCAGAAAGTGTTGTTCATATAGCATGATAGGTATTGCTAATGCATTGCAAAAACCATGACCCTGGACAGTTAGTTTTGATTCTGTTATAAGTCTGCTGCATATTTGTGGTCAAGGATTCAGGGCTTTTAATGACAGCCAGATCATTTGAATTTAAGTGTAACTCACCAGGTTTCCTCTTGATTATGGTGTTTGAAACAAGGTGCCATTGTTGAAACAAGATGTTTTAAGTTGTGTATACCATTTATTAGATAATGCCCTTCTCTCACAAAGTGGGTTTATAGAAAGATTGCCTTCAGGTGGAAAGAATCAGTGTTGAATAAGCTCAGTTGTACAAAAGTCATAAACAAGGAGGCTGACTGCATTATTCTGCAAAAGCTGTTGCAGCAAATAAATGCACATGGCTAAAGGGCCATAAAAATAGTTTGTGTTTAGAATTGAACATGTGTGATGCAGCCACCTGCAAGCTCTTACTTCTGATGTGGAAAAATGCACCCTTTGGGTAATGAATCAGAATGATGCACTGAAATATGTACAAGACCACATTTCTATGCTAAGGAAATAATAGGCCAGTGCAAAGCACATGACCACAGCACTGCTTACCCTTCCATCAAATCATCTACTTTTTCAGGCTGCTTGCATTTTGTCTGCATGATATTCTTTTTTCAAGTTAGAGTTCAAAGATATGCTACAATAAACCCTCATATTTAAGACTCAGGGTGCCGGTAGTGTAGTGGTTAAGGCGTCTGCGCCAACCAGTGCGTATCTGGGAAACCAGAGGTACGGGTTCGATTTCCCGCAGCACCGGCCCTTCTTGCCAGGGTGAGAGGCTGGCAACGCCATATAGCCTCAGCAGCTGAGTGCGTCGTAAAGCTCCAATGACATGACATATTCAAGACTCACAATTATCATGTGTACTGTGTCAGGAGAGTTACTAAAACTTAACCAATACCCATGTTAACTAATGTCTTGAATGCACTACCACCGCAGGTGCACATTCATGGGAAGGACGCTGTGGCAATGATGGAGTCGCTGGCGGTGGCGGACGTGGTTGGGCTACCACCGGGCTGCGGCACGCTCTCGCTGTTTACCACCGAGACGGGTGGCATCATCGACGATCTGATCGTGACACGTACGGCCGCCGGCCCGCTCTACGTGGTCTCCAACGCCGGCTGCCGGCACAAGGACCTGCCCCTGATGGAGGGGCGCGCCGCCGAGCTGCGGGCCCAGGTCAGCCAATGAGCGCGGCTGTTATCGTACCGCCGGCTCCACTGGAGGCAGTGTCAGACCCAGGTCAGCCGCTGACCACGGCTGCCAGTGTGCCGCCGGCTCCACTGGAGGCAGTGTCGGACCCAGGTCAGCCAATGAGTGCGGCTGTCATTGTGCCGCCGGCTCCACTGGAGGCAGTGTCGGACCCAGGTCAGCCGCTGAGCACGGCTGTCATCGTCCCGCCGGCTCCACTGGAGGCAGTGTCGGACTCAGGCCAGCTGCTGAGCACGGCTGCCAGTGTGCCGCTCGTTCCGGCTGCTGAGCACGGCTGCCAGTGTGCCGCCGGCTCCACTGGAGGCAGTGTCTGACCCAGGTCAGCCGCTGAGCACGGCTGCCAGTGTGCCGCTCGCTCCGGCTGCTGAGCACGGCTGCCAGTGTACCGCCGGCTCCGCTGGAGGCAGTGTCGGACCCAGGTCAGCCGCTGAGCACGGCTGCCAGTGTGCCGCTCGCTCCGGCTGCTGAACACGGCTGGCAGTGTGCCGCCGGCTCCACTGGAGGCAGTGTCGGACCCAGGTCAGCCGCTGAGCACGGCTGCCAGTGTGCCGCTCGCTCCGGCTGCTGAGCACGGCTGGCAGTGTGCCGCCGGCTCCGCTGGAGGCAGTGTCGGACCCAAGTCAGCCGCTGAGCACGGCTGCCAGTGTGCCGCTCGCTCCGGCTGCTGAGCACGGCTGCCAGTGTGCCGCCGGCTCCGCTGGAGGCAGTGTCGGACCCAGGTCAGCCGCTGAGCACGGCTGCCAGTGTGCCGCTCGTTCCGGCTGCTGAGCACGGCTGCCAGTGTACCGCCGGCTCCGCTGGAGGCATGTCGGTTCCAGTTGTGGCTCCTCGCGGATCGGTCGACTGCGTCCTTGAACTCCTTGGTTGACATGTCATTCGTCTTCGTGGGCTTGGGCACGGGGAAGGGGCGATGCACCCCCCATCTTTTTGAAAAGCATTTATTTCCCAACTCGTTCGTCTCGTCGCGTCGCAACTTCGGCCAGCTGTAATCCAAACTTTTTGCACCTGACTGAAAGTGACCGCTTCTATTTTTTAACGGTCGCTCAGTCAAGTTTTCCGGGAGGGACTAAACGGCCGACCAAAACTGTTGACAGCTCTTTGCTCGCAGCCAACGACACCGATTGACATGAAGCCTTCACCATTCGATGTCACTTGGTCGATCGCGGATCCTTTTCAGAATATGGTGACCTTGGGTCAGGTCAAATGTCACCAGAAGCCTTCTCCAATCGATACGCCATAGCGGATATCCTATCTTTTTCAGAACATGGTGACCTTGGGTCAGGTCAAAGATCACCAAAAACGGCCAAAACCACCAAAATTGATCGGAGACAACCCCTTGCTCCGAGCCCATGGCACCGATTGACATGAAACCTTTAGCATTCCATGCCGCTTGGTCGATAGCCTATCCTCTCCGGAATATGTTCACCTTGGGCGAGGTCAAAGGTCACAGAAAGTGCAAAAAAACGGAAAGCAGGTTTGCAGGCAACCTCATGCTCCGAGTCTGTGTCACCATTTGACATGACACCTTCATCAATCGGTGTGCCATAGTTGAAATCCTATCCTGTCCAGAACATGGGGGCCTTGGATCAGGTCAAAGATAAAAAACTGCCAAAACCACCAAAATCGTCTACAGCTAACCCTATGCCCCGAGCCTGTGGCACCGATCACTATGAAACCATTCACCAATTACCGATCAATCACCAATCAGTGCGCCATAGTCGATATCCTATCTTTTCCAGAACATTGTGATCTGGGATCAGGTTAAAGGTTACCAAAAAAGGCCAAAACCGATTGGCGAAGGTTTCATGGTGATCGCTAGCATAGCTTTGGAGCTGGAGGTTGTCTGCAAACCTATTTTTTCGTTTGTCTTTGTATTTTTGGTGACCTTTTACCTGACCCAAGGTCTCCACATCCGGGAAAAGATAGTTAATCGATCAAGCGGTATCGAATGGTGAAGGTTTCATTTCACTCAGTGCCATAGGCCTGGAGTATAGGCTGTCATCGGGTTTGGTCGTCCGCTTAGTTCCTCCTATGTTTTCCTCCACAAAGCATCACAGCGAGGAGGAAATAATAGGGCACTGATTAGACTTAGCTCCTGCTCACAGCCTTGCATGCATGGACGCTATGTGACCTGCAGTTCAAGCTCCTCAAGGCCCCAAATAACCAGCTGCTATCGCAAAGCCTTGTATTGCCACAACCGTGGCAATACAAGGCTTTGGTCCGCCCGTCCGTCCCGGTGGCTCAGTTGGTTAGAGCGCCTGCCCTCCGATCCACCCACCCGTGGCTGGGTGGGTTCGAGTCGCTTTAGGGCGCTCGCTATTTGCCCTTGACGGGTATGGCCTGCGGCCGGTGGCAGCGGTCGCGCTAAAGGTCAGTTGACGTCAGAGGGCAGGACGGACCGTGCCGAGCATTGCGGCACGTTAAGCTTTCGCCACTTAACTCTGTCGTTGCCTGGGATTGCGTGATCGGATGGTGGGGGTCAGAGCTCACACAACAAGCACTACTTAGCGTGAGCGCTGATCCCAGAAATCCATCTATTCAAAGGGTTCGGATCAAATTTATAAAAAAAACCGTAGGCTATTGGCTCGGTACGGGTATTTTCAACTCTGTGTGCACCTTTGTGGCTCGCTCTGTGTGGTTGTCTGGATAGTTCTAAAGGTGTAAGCTGGTAGACATTAATGTTGTCAGTGCTCGTGACCTTCCGCTAAGTTACCCAAAGTCGAATGGCGTCAAGTGAAGCTCTGGAATATTCTTCAAAACTTCTCAAACGTGTTGTATCGTTAAGGCACGCTGGTAGTTTAAGAGTCTTGATGGTCATCACTGAACACCGTTCCTTCAAAACCGCCCAAAGTAATGTTTTCAGAGCTTCTACGCTGTAAAAACATCCCATTTATGCAAAACGTTTTTGAGTGCAGGGTCGGCCAAGGTCATTGTCAGGAGACGTCATGCAATCCTGGCAAGTGACTTCAACGCATCCTCTGGAAGTAAATGGTAACTTGTGTTGACTTGTGTCATCTTCCATCTGTCGACGTGCTTGAAGCCATGCAGAGGTGACTGAAACACAATTCGGCCTCGTCTTGGTTGATCTGACGGTTCAAACGTTAAAGGTATAAGAAATTGTGCTCCTCGGAAGGTGTCGAAAGATAGAAAACTTATGAGGATGAAAGTTAATCCCATTCTCATGGCGTGATTCGACCTTTCTGGGTTTTCTCATTCCATCGTCAAGCCGCATGAGCCGGGGAAAATTGTATTAGTTTGGCATTGCCTGACTAGAAGGTGGTACTTTGCAATGTCAGAGGCGATTCCGAGCTTTATTTTTAGTCAACATGACATGACAAATCGCGGTCATGTCTTGAATGACTCATTTGTAATAGTTAAGACGCGTTTTAACTGTAATAAGCTGTCGTGCCGTCACGTATATCATAACTAACCATTTACCATATATTATATATATATATATATGTATAATATATACATACATATATATATATATATATATATATATATATATATATATATATATATATTGAAGTCCTTGAAGTGCTATCAGCATACACACACATGACATGCCAACATTTTTTTTTTTTGCAGCGATCCTGATCAATGATGACCGTCGATTTCGAAGTCTCGGGAAGGGATGATGCATTTGATGAGGGACGTGCATTTGCTGACTATCCATACTGACAAAAACGAAAATTTCGTTCTTCGGGCGTCTTGGGGACCAAACGGCAGCAGCGAATAGTTGCGCATGAGAACAGGCCACGCATGAGAACACGGCACCGCCTCATCTAAAGATGTTTTCTGTGCCCCAAAACAGATGAAAGCATTGTGGGGAAGCAAGATGTACCCCGTAGCTGCGATCATTGTGAATATGATCCCAGCTTGGTATGGTGAACTAAATGTGCCAACAATCTTTCCATCCATCGTGATCACTTGTTTCGTTACCGTCGAAGACAAGCTGCTTTCGGCTGCACAAACCGTCCCCGACAAAAAAAAAAAACATCGTGACATTACCAGTTAAGGCTTCGCCGCACCAGTGTTCCACACTGCCAGTTTTCAAGCAGGGGTGTCTAATTTAGGGCACATGTGTCACATCTTGAGAACTTGTGGGGAAATATTTCGTGTTGAGGTCAGCTAAAGTCAGGTTCGTACCCATAATTTTCCCCAGGGTGAGGAGCAAATGCGGATTTTTTTCCAAAAACTTGAAATTAAATAACTGCGAAATTGTCCAGCATCTTGTGTGTTTCTTTACTCAAGGTTTGCAATTGTGGTAGGGGGGGGGGGGGGAGAGATTGGAGCCCTTGTCGCCTTCCTTTGCTTATTTGTTTCTGGCTAGCATCCTGTCCTGTCCTGTCCAGCATCCTGTGTATACTTCTTTGCTCGAGGTTTGCAATTGCGGGAGGGGGAGGGGAGGGGGATAGAAGCCCCATGTCCCTTCCCTTTGTTCCATGTCCCTGGTCAAATTCCATCAACCTGGTTTCATCGATGAAATATAGATCTTGCGGTGCGTTGATCAAACCTACGACGTTGGTCTTTAACGTTGTATAGCTCCAATGGGCTACTTTAGGCATCAGCTTCTTTCTGACGGCTGACAACTCTCACTTATGTTATCGCCTTGTTCGTTCCAGGCTGCCAGGGATGTAGCTGGGTACACAGTCATGCCAGCCAGGCTATGGGTGATGCTGTGCCGCTTGGCCTCGTTAGATTCTGACCGTGTGCCGTGACGTCACCGCAGGGCCGCGACGTGTCCGTGGAGGTGTTGGAGAGGGGTCTGCTCGCTGTGCAGGGGCCGGCCACGGCCCGCCTGCTGCAGCCGCTCACCTCGCTCGACCTGACCCGGCTGACGTTCATGACCTCGGCGCCGGCTGACGTGTGCGGTGTGCCCTGCCATGTCACGCGCTGCGGCTACACCGGCGAGGACGGCGTCGAGATTTCGGCGCCGGCCGCGCGTACCGCCGAGCTGGCCGAGAGCTTGCTGACATCTGGCGGCGGGACGCTGAAGCTGGCCGGTCTGGGCGCGCGCGACTCGCTCCGCCTCGAGGCCGGCCTCTGTCTGTACGGCAACGACATCGATGAGGCGACCTCGCCGGTGGAAGCCGGCCTGGCCTGGACCGTGGCCAAGCGGCGCCGCGCCGCACGCGACTTCCCCGGCGCCGAGACGATCCTGGCGCAGCTGCGCGACAAGCCGGCGCGCCGCCGCGTCGGGCTCGTCTCAGAGGGGGCTCCAGCGCGCGCGCAGGCACACATTCTGGATGCCGAGGGACGGCAGGTGGGCTCTGTGACCAGCGGCTGCCCGTCTCCGGCGCTCAAGCACAATGTGGCGATGGGCTACGTGGAGGCAGCGCACGCCAAGGTGGGCACCGAGCTGCTGCTGGAGGTGCGCAAACAGCGTGTGCCGGCGCACGTCGTCAAGATGCCATTCGTTCCCAGTCGGTACTACACGCACGCCTAGAGAGACCTCGGCTGCACGCCCGGCGGAAGTCAGCTGCGGGAAGGTGGGGCACTAGGGCTGTGGTTACGTGGGCTGGGAGGAATAGCTAAGCACTGTGGTGGTCGCCTAGTGGACGATGGTGGATGATACGCTCGGTGCAGTTATGGTGCCACATAACGGGTGCGCTGGGGCAAGCACACGTGCTGTGCTGAGTCTGCAATGGCGCATTCTAGTATGTAGGGTCACTGCTTCCTGCCAGTGCTGCAGGTGTCTTGGACATCCTAGTTCCAGCACCTGCCTGCTCGGAATATCTAAACGATGCTGTACTGTCGTCCTATTTGGTAAGAGCGCCGGTGGTGCGGCAGGTCTTTCGTACGAGCACCGGTGGTGCGGGGGTCTGGTACGAGCACTGGTGATGCGGTGGATCTTTGATAGACCTGTAGGTGGCGACGCGGCCTCGTTCAGCCCGGTCGGCCGGCGCGTGAACCTGCTGCAGGGGCTTGCCAGCAGCATCGGGGGCTGGTGTGGTCCGGGCTGGTTTCCCCCGGTCCACCGATGACGGTTGTTGATAGTGCTATTGCGGGGTCGATTAACCACTGTGTGCTGTATAGGGGGAACTGTTACGGCACGCCTCAAAAAGGTAAAAACCTTCCCAAGGCACACTACCGGGCTCGGATAGTGAAGCAGCGGGTGCTATTACGGGAAACATAGCTAGTCAGAAATGGGCTTACATGAATGGATTATCTGTTTGTTTTACATGCGAAATACTCACTTGATCGTGCCTCTGTATTTTTACGTGTGTTTCATGTGGTGATAGAGGAATCTCAAGGTCAGCTTTTCTTGAATATGTCGATGTTACATGACCCCCAGGATCCTTGTTAGTTGGAAATTAACGAGACTGTTGACGATGGGTATTTCGAAGCAAACCTCGCTTCCGTGCTGTGAGACTGCCTCGAATCAGATGGCATTGAATCCCTTTGTGTGTGATGGTTTTGTGCAATATGTGGTAAGCTAGCTCACTCGGCCAGAGGCCGCGATTCGTCAGCAGTTAATTTTGATATGTTGTGTAGAATTATGCGAGTGTGTCGGGAAACCATTGTAAAACGGCGAGAATTCAGCTCATGCTGCGCGTCAGGCATGCGTCTATGGCGTTGAGGCGTGGAAACTAAAGAACGTTTCGTAATGTTCAGTTATCCCTACCAACCATCGTCAACGCTTTGTAACATGGATGCGTTTCAGAAGTGCTCGATGGAGGCGGGGCCTTACACTGTTGTGTTTTGGTTACAATATGAGAACCACATGGGCACAGTGTTTGAAAGCTTGCTGGAGAAAGGTTCATCAGACTGGAGCTGGGTTTTTGGACTTGGGAAAGAAACACCAACCGCTTACGTTGAGACAACGTGGGCCAAATTCGGGCAGAAACCGGCGATAAAGATGCAACGTACGGTGATAACCCATTGTGTTGTTAGGCTACTATTATTGGGCTACTATTAATAGGTTACCCTACTTTGTGAGCAACTTTACCAATAACCTAGCCCAGATATGTAAGCAACTAGTCAGTGATCCCAAAATTACTACCATCCCCACAGCACATTTCAGATTACATGCATTTCAGACGTGAGAACATGTGATGGCATTCAGATGGACTGAGGTGACTAAAGTGCTACAGTGCCGAACCTACGGTCAGGAGACCTACGCTCGCTGGACCTACACTCAGGAGACCTACGCTCACTGGACCTACACTCAGGAGACCTACGCTCGCTGGACCTACACTCAGGAGACCTACGCTCGCTGGACCTACACTCAAGAGACATACGCTTGCTGGGCGTACGCTCACTAGGCCTGCGGTCGCTGGACCTACGCTCACGAGACCTGCACTCACTGGACCTACGCCCGGGAGACGTGCGATGCCGTTATCCCCACATCATCGAGTCACTGCTGGTGGGCCCGTCGTCACACACCATTGAGGGGATAAACGAAAGCTGACTATCAAAGGCATTAGATAACGCTGTCCGCTGCTTCGCGGGTCTGCATTACACTAAAATACCGTCAACGCAACAAAGGGGGAGAGAGTGAGAGAGAGAGAGAGAGAGGGCCCATTGATAAAAATGGTGCAAAGACGCCACAACAATGGACCTTGATTGTACGTCCGTAGCAGCAGGCCTAATCGTCCTTAAGTCACGTAACGTTTTTTTTTGTAACGTGTGCACGAATTACAAAACCAGATTGGCGTTTTGAAATTTATGAAAGCATTATGTCGCCATCACCCCAATGCTCTTCATTAGGTGCGTTTTTTTACGCTGTGGACCCCTAGACATTCGTTTCTCTGGCCGCCATCGGATCGTGCGCCGTGCATTCCAGCCACGCCATTTCAGGCTGCACGGACGGCAGCAGGGGCTTTCGTACTAGACATCCCGAAGGCTTCGAAGGCGCGTTAGATTTGAAAATTCGAAACACCACCTTCCCGGAACACCTCCACTTTTAGTCAATGTTTTGTGCAGAACATGATTGAAGCGTGCACGCTTTCCATCAGTTCAGTTCATCCTGATATCATCATCATAATCCTGATGCTTCGCCGTCTGGCCGCTGACGTACCCTCCTGGAATCTTGCTTTTGTTCGCTACCTACGCTCCCCATAAAGGGTTAGTTCTGTCGGCGACCACCAGTCATCCATCAAGCCGCGAAAAGTGTCAGCAGCGCCGGAAACTTGCGGGAAATATCTTTTGAAAGCCAAAGGCATGTGCTTGGTGGCCTGTACTCATTCATTGTGCAGGTCAGGCCGGATGGTCGAGTCTGCCTGCGTACACAAGCTGTCGGATGCACCTCGCCCAAGCGGCCCAACCGACGCCAGCAAGCCCCGTGCCGCGGGCGCCGTTACGACCCGCAGCGCCCCACAGGCTGTGAGACTGACCATGGTACGTGGCGTGTGGCACATACTTCACCGGAGATGGGTGTACTGGAAATGTGCACCTGAGGCTCATACGGCGGAAACATGTCAACCGGCATGGGTTAAGTCATCGCCAACGGGTCGAAGACTGAAAATCTCCGTGTAGGCAACGCGTTGAATTTTCATACTGAAATTTGGACGTTTGTACGCCGTCAGTGGGATGGCCCGGACCGTGAACATTGAAGGATTTGACAGATCGATATGCGTGTGCGGCTGGTGCAAGATTTGTCGGCAAGTTTTTCACACGGGATATTGCTCGCCCTCGGGCAGCGTCTCAGCAGCGTTTCTGCCGCCTCAGAAGTGTCGGCCAGCTGCATGACTGGTATTGGGGAGGGTTCCACTTTAAGCAGTGTGCTGACCCACACGCACCGTACGTACCAGTGAGGCATTGGGGGAGGGGAGGGTTCTTTTTTAAGCAGTGTGCTGACCCACTCGCACCGCAGGTACCAGTGAGGCATTGGGGGAGGGGGATGGTTCCACTTTAAGCAGTGTGCTGACCCACTCGCACCGCACGTACCAATGAGGCATTGGGGGGGAGGGTTCTACTTTGCGCGCGCAGGCAAAATCCTTTAATATGTATATGTATATATAAAATCCTTACTAATAGGTATATGGCGCGGCATGTTGACAGCTAAAGCCACTTGAGCGATAAACCTTGATTAACTGCTTAATGTTCATCGCTGCTTTCTAGATATGCATAACTTCGGCCGGAACACGTTCAGGTTGGCTCGTGGCCCGGCCATAAGTTATCAGTACCTAATGACAATGCGTCTGAACGCATAGTGTCTCACCGATCACACATGGCACAATGAGTCGCTGCTTGAGTTTAATGACAATGCGTCTGAACGTATAGTGTCTCACCGATCACACATGGCACAATGAGTCGCTGGTTGAGTTTAATGACGATGCGTCTGAACGCATAGTGTCTCATCGGTCACAATGGCACAATGAGTCGCTGGTTGAGTTTAATGACGATGCGTCTGAACGTATAGTGTCTCACCGATCACAATGGCACAATGAGTCGCTGGTTGAGTTTAATGACGATGCGTCTGAACGCGTAGTGTCTCACCGATCATACATGGCACAATGAGTCGCTGGTCGAGTTTAATGACGATGCGTCTGAACGCATAGTGTCTCATCGGTCACGCATGGCACAATGAGTTGCTGGTTGAGTTTAATGACGACGCGTCTGAACGCATAGGGTTTCACCGATCACACATGGGACAATGAGTCGCTGCTTGAGTTTAATGACAATGCGTCTGAACGCATATGTCTCACCGATCACACATGGCACAATGAGTCGCTGCTTGAGTTTAATGACAATGCGTCTGAACGCATAGTGTCTCACCGATCACAATGGCACAATGAGTCGCTGGTTGAGTTTAATGACGATGCGTCTGAACGTATAGTGTCTCACCGATCACAATGGCACAATGAGTCGCTAGTTGAGTTTAATGACGATGCGTCTGAACGCGTAGTGTCTCACCGATCATACATGGCACAATGAGTCGCTGGTCGAGTTTAATGACGATGCGTCTGAACGCATAGTGTCTAACCGATCACACATCGCACAATGAGTCACTGGTTGAGTCTGCCAAAGTGTTACCAAAGACTCCACGCCTCGAATGTTTGTCCTTGCATGTTTAACTTCAGCTAGTGCTGATTATTCGCTTTCCCTACCCGCCTAATCGTAATGCATGAGGTTAAAAACAATAAGCTCAGGCCATTCAAAAGTAACTTCATAACATCGCACGGCATGCGGGGAGTCAATAATTTGATGCCCCATGTGAAGCAGCCACACTAGCATTTGTACCAATGCAGGGCACGGCTGTGAGTGTTACCGGGACACCTGGGCACGCGCTGTCAGCGTGACATTTTGATGAACCATTCTGCAAAATATCGGCTCGTATATCGTGCATATCCGCACCGACAATGCTAACATGCACGAAAGCGCATTGGACAGGCTGGGACCACCACCACACGAAACCAAAGCAATGCGGCTGAAACAGAAGAGCGTGTGCACGTACCTGTTTGTAAAAAGGATTTTTAAAAAAGATATGGCGAAGAGTTACGCGTGTTCGGGGTTTGGCACGTTGATAACCTCTTAGTTCTGGTGGCACAACGTAAAATGTAACGTTGCTCACCGTGACGTGCTACCCGTGGCAGGGGCAAACGTGTCCCATTGGTTTGACATGGAAGACGCATCATTCGCTGATTAACAAAAAAAAGTCAGCTGGAGGGCAACAGCGAACTTGTTTGATAGTTGCGGTTAGTCTCAATAAAACGAAACTGCATATTCATATGCGGCAAGTAACTGCTGGCTACACTAGTGAAAGCGCGCGTCAACGCGAGCGCACATGCCATCGGCGCACACCACCCTCGCTTGCTGTCGTGATCACACGCTGCTCCACGTCGACAAAGTCTTCCCATCAGATCTTATTCCGGCGTTATTGTACATTAATTACAGCAGTTTTGCTTCCGTGATAATACTACGCAAGTGAGCGATATCTGTGGTCGGGCCAGTTATTAGATCTAACCACATTAGAAATATTTAAACCATCCCACCTATCACCCGAAGTCCAGCATCCAGGCAGGACCGTTTTGATGATCGACTCACTACCGCAGTGAATTAAGTGCAGTAATATGCGTTTTTTAAGGGACTGCGCAGAAACGTTCAAAGATTACAGTGGTAGCAGTGCATCACCTTCACCTGATGTCAAAGGACCGCATGTGTTAAACAATGTAATTGCTATTGCTGTCGAATGTGACCTGCTGCACTGTTGTAAATGCATCGGGCGCTGCACAGTTGCTGCGTTTTAAACGAATTTTTCGACCCGTAGTCATAGCGAACCATTAAAAGTACGATCACCGTCAACGCTTTCTTAGGGCAGCTGGGCTGGCTGAGCGTGGATAGCCTAATAGTATCGAGTATGCGCACCTAAGTGTAATTGCGTGGTCACTAAAAAGCTAGCTCTACTAGCAACACTGTTACAGTTAACGTGCGCTGGACGCGACATTGGTATGAGAGGTGTTTCACATGCGGCACGTTCGAACTCAAGCCTGCAGGGGTCAATTTTCGGCCGAAGACAGCAGCTCGGAGCAGTGTCCCCGGTACTGCAGCACGCTCGCAACGCTTATTCAGTGAAAAAAGCGGTGAAAAAGCATCCTTAATGGCATGAGTCGTCCTGTTAACACATTTGAGGAGCGGCTGAGGATAATTTTCTTAAATAGTTCGTGAAAGTGTTTTATGTTCTATTTTACGCTAGCTGAAATGCACATTTTTGTCAATGGCATTTTGGTGTGTTGTAAATGAATGTGTGAACAGGCTGTAAAAGCCATATGCATTCCTAA